GCCCTTTGAGCTTTGGGACGATTTTTTCAATGTCAGATTCATTTCGACGGTCAAAATTGAAGTCGAATGTTGTCTGATGTGCGCGAGAAGACAACTGACGGCGAGAGGCTAGCGGCGAGCCTTCCGGTGTATCAGACATACTGCTTGGTAGCAAGTAGTCAGGAAAGTGAGGGGTATGATTGGCTTGCTACGGCGGGTAGCAAGTCAGAAGTGGGGTTCGACGATCCGATTTTTGGAATGTCGAAAGGGGTTATCGGCAACTATGGTTGGTTGACGATGATGATCCACCTAATATTAGATGGTTCAAAAGGGGTTAGACAAGGTGTTAATCTTGTCTTCTTTTGGTGAGGGACTCTGATTTGTGTGGTCAAGAACCACACTAAGTATCCACACCGTGGTGCGACGCAGTACACCAAAAAAGTGGTTAAACCAGGGTTTCGAAGGTTGCATTACACAATAGCTTCGAAAGCAACGGCGCTCATAACCTGAGAGAGATGATGTTCAGTCTACAAATGAAGCTGTAGATGAAACTGGAGATCTCTGGATGCGTTGTAGAAGAGAGAAGCTATCTACAGGTTTAGCTAGACTAAGTACTAGGAGCAAACAAAGAAGTCATGTGACTTCTAACAAGAATATAGGGTATACATCGAGGATTGGCCTCTACATTCACCGGATCTTAGCCCCATTAGGCTATATATGTAGCGATTGAAGGTTGGATTATTGAAGTTCTACCCCGAATCAGCAGAAATTGGTAGAAGTTAGGAGGATTGGGCTTGTTTTAAGGAAGCTACTTGTTATATAGAATGCACTTAATCAGGGTATATTGACAACTTGATCCGCTCTATGCCTTGAAGATTGCTGGCTACGCGTGAAGCAAAGGGCTACTACACTAAACATCAAATGAATTGAATTTTTGTCCAGTTATCTATCCGTTGATATTTAGATTAATATAAAATTTACCACGTTGGTGATGTTGCAGTCACATATTTGGTGGGGGTGCGGGTTCAAATCGACCGTCGCAGGACTTTTCGTCATGGGGAATAAGCTTGAAAAGTTACTATGCTTCTCACCCTTTCTAACAGTTTGAATAATACCGAAACTAGGATCTAACCCCAGTGACACCACTAGCACTATCTTGGATCTGTTTGACCCATAAACTGCTAAACCAACTCTCTGGGTCCCGAAGAAGCTCAGCAGGCCTCCCAGATTCAACAATGGTCCCGTTTTCAATGACTAGAATGAGATCAAAGTCCACAATCGTGTTCAGCCGATGGGCCACTGCAATGACTGTACTGTCTTTGAATTGCTCTGAGATCAAGTTCATCATCGTGGCTTCCGTCTGCACATCTACCATTGAAGTCGCTTCATCGAGGAGTAGAATGGGAGACGGTTTTGGCTTCAACAGGATTCGCACAAAAGCAATCAGCTGCTGCTGACCGGTAGAAAGTGTTTCTTTCTGAATGACACTGTCTAAACCTGCTTCTTTGGCTAAAAACAAGTTCGCCATTCCGACACGGGAAAGCGCAGACATAATAGCCGCATCGGTATGATTCTGTAAAGGATCAAGATTCAGGCGGATTGAACCAGGCAAGATCAGTGGATCCTGGGGTAGCGTGGTTAGCTTCTGTCGAAGCGTCTCTCGTGGAATTTGACTAATGTCAAGGCCATCGATTAAGGTTCTTCCTTTCGTGATTTCGTTCAGTCGTAGTAGACCTAGTATCAGGGAGCTTTTGCCACTACATGTCACTTAGAAACTGAGGATATATTTGCTCAAGGTCAGGGCCTAAGCATACCTTCCTGAGCGCCCACAAATGCCTATCTTAGCCCCGGGAGGTATCGTTAGATTGATTCCCTGGATTACAGGATCCAACTCGGTCCTAAGTACTTAATTAGGGTATAATACAGGTTTAAAGAACATGGACACTTCGACTTACCGGTAGCTTAGTGCAAGGTCAACGAATTTGATTCTTCCTTCGGATGGCCAAGCACTTGTAGGATTATAGCATTCCTGAGGGAGATGTTCAGACGGCGTTTCGGATTCGAAGGATTTCAATCGAGCCAATGCCCCAATTGAGGTTTCAAGCGAAGTCCATGCTTCAATGACGTATGCCAAAGTCGCGCTAATAGCGGAGACATTGTTGAGCGCAACACCAAGAGCACCGCCAGATGTGCTGCGCATTTCAATAGCCAAAACGACAAGCACGACAACGATTCCCATCACTATCAAGTTCAAGACAAGAGTCAACCAGCATTGAATGGAGTACATGAGATAGAACGGTTTCTGCGACTCGTCGGTAAGGTGCATGTTGAGCTGACGGAAGTTTTCTTGCCAGCCAAATCCCCTGATTGTAGCAATTCCATCGCACGTCTCCAGGAAACTAGAGAAAAGGGGCGACTTGGCTTCAAGATCCAAGTGTCGAATCTGTCGCGAGGTGTGTAGGTAGAACTTTTGCAAAATGTAAACTATGAACATGATCGGGGGGAAGGTCAATGCGGTCCATGGGGATGATTGCGCGATCAGCACTACTTCAGCAATCGCATCAAGAAAACCGTCCAGGGTCTGAATCATTGCCCCTGGTAGTCTCATATCGATTAAAGACATGTCTTGACTGAAACGATTTAGCATCACTCCGGTATCAGTTGAGACAAGAGATGCGAGAGGGGCAGCAGTCACAGCCTTCAGCAGTCTTCTGTGCAAGCGAACTGAAGTGCGAGGCACAGATTGAACCATGAAAATCCAGTAAACAAGGAAGAAACAGATAGCCGATGAGACTCCAAAGCCTGCGTAGCCAGCGATATAGCGAGTGGTACTTTTTCCTGGCTCCTCAATTTCTGCTTCGGACCACCATTCGAGCCAGATATTCGGGAATCTGCTGAAGAAACAAAATCCGATTGATGCAGAAAGAACTGATATGACGGCTATCCACCCCATTTCCTTGGCGTAGAGAAAATAAAGACTGGAGTCGCCGGCTCGTCTAGATGCATCAGCTAGCGCTTGCCTGGATTCGATTTCCTGCTCTTCCAAGAAATTGGGCCTAGGCGTACTAGAAGCAAGATCCTGTTGTATTGGGACGTGAATTTCGAAATCGGCAAGCATTCCATCAGAGGACCGTGTCTTTATACTCAAGCCATCGTGATCAATCGTCATGATGGTATCAACCTTGTGTTTGAAATTTACTACGGCTGTTAGCGAGGCACCTCAAAATGTGGTATGAGAACAACTGACTCTTGTGTGTTGCGAAAACTACAGCCAAGCCATACTTCCGACAGATACCGTGTTGTCCCAACAATTTTTGAATCACCTGATTTTCAGTGGAAGCATCAAGCCCACTGGTGATATCATCCAGCAGAAGAAGCTGTTTCCGAGAATAGACTGCTCTTGCAAGGGAAATGCGCTGTCTTTGACCTCCACTGAGACGCACGCCTTTACTTCCAACGGTAGTCATGTCTTTCTGCGGTAGACGGTCGATTTCCGTGTCAAGACAGCATGCATTTATTACCTCTTGGTACCACGTTTCCTCGAAGTTGGAAGGACCTTGAATGAGATTGCGGATAGAGAGGTTTGGCATCCATGGCTCTTGGGAGCAATATGCAATCCCTAACCCCGGTTGTTTCAGCGTTTCCCCTTCTGTCTGGAAAATCTCACCAAGTAGAGCGAGTAACAAGGCACTCTTGCCACTTCCAACTGGTCCCACGAGTAGAGAAATACTACCTCGGTTGACGTTGAGAGAGACGTTGTTTAGAACAGGGTCTCCTGTTGCTTTGAAGGAGAATGAAGCGTTCTTCATCTGGATCAAGGGCTTGGAAGAGTTGCCTTTGTTCCGATCAATGGGCTTTAAGTCACTGAGTTGCACTATCTCTTCATCTGAAATAGTGTCTGCACGCAATCCCTTTTGTTGGGGATTAGAGATGTCGCCAAAGGAAATCAAGGTTTGGTAGCACTGATCTGTCAAAAGATATTTCTGAATCCGATCATAAGAACCAAAAGAAGCGATGAATACCGGAAAAGCGTACATAAAATTCAAAATGGGCTTGCTGACTAGACCGATGAGCGATAATGATGAGAACGCTTTCGCAGGGTCAAGAGCGCCTTGCTCGGATTGTCTAGCGATAAGGGCGTAGACTATGAAAGCTGCAGCTGGGGCAAGAGTTTCTGGAAGAACACCAACAGTCATGCTGACAGTAGCGTTTAGCCGAAAAATTTTGGACTTGTTCAACTCCGTGGCACGCAGATCGTCGATTTTTGCAGATGTGGCTTCCGAGATGCCAGACATGCGAATGTTTTTAATGTTACCAAGAAAGGAGGATGTCGAGCTGATTCTATCTTGAAGGGCTTCCATCCAGAGGTGTTGCGAATTCTTTGCTCTCTTTGACAATGTATGAACAGACGCAGTACACCCTACAACATAAATCAATCAATGGTTGATACAATGCCACCATAGGAGCGTGATTTACACTTACCAACCACAAAGACAATAGGTGCAAGGCAGGCAAGCCCAACCTGTCGGTACAAGAGGTAAAGTGCCAAGCCCACCTCGATAGGTGAAGCCCATATTACGTCTGAATTCTCAAAGCCTGCAGCGATTCGATCGAAATCCTCACTCATGAGAGTAAGCACGGACTGGTCGGTCAGCGTGGATCCCGGAAGACGCAAAGTTTGATTATACATTAGGCTAAGAAGCCCTCCACGCATTATTACAATGCATCGATAGGTTTGATGCTTGTAGGCTGCAGTGCAAATTGCAATCCCAAGATATACCAGAAATGTGGCACCAATTAGTGCTTGGCCAACAACCTCCGTCTCGTCGTTCCTCTTATCATCTATGAATGAAATTACCCGGTAAATCAGAAGTGGCTGAGCAATGTTGAAGCCGATCAAACAGATTCGGGGAAAGATGGCATGGAGAACAGGTCCATAAGCAACCCTTAGTGTCACCCAAGCTAAGCTGTACTTGGAAGTTTTTCTGCATTGTTGCCAGGCATGGCCCATGCGAGTTCCGACAGTCTCTGATGCCAATCTCGGATCCAGTGATGGAAGGTCCTGTTGTTGAATAGAGTGGGAAGAACCCAGGAGGAGCAGTGAATTCAACCACCAAAACACACCCCGATTGAAAATTCCTCCCAGGGCATCGGAGGAATACCGAGAGTAAGGGCTTTTCAGTAGATGCCGTTTTTGAATTGACTCAAGAAAAAGGGTGATCAATTTGATGATCACGACTGCAAGAAACACAATGGCAATAGGCCTATGGCTTCCCCTCAGCCACAGTGTGCGTGCTTGGCTTCCATCTAAAAGCGTACTGATTGTAAGATATCCACTCAGCAAAAAAGATGGACGAAGTGAGCGATGGTGCTCCTGATAGGACACGATAGCTAGACTTAGCGCGGCAAGGAAGCCGAGACAGGCCGCTGGCAACGAAATCCGGGTCAGTTCGCCGTGAGGCAATGCATAAAGGACGATCAACGATAATTGCAGGCATCCAAGAGTGGCTGTAGTTGTCTAATGTTTCTTTTAGCTGGGAATTCTTGTCGCTTTGAATCAGTCCTCGAGACTGTCGTCCCTACAATTTTTGCAAGTATCAACCAGTCCAGAGAGGTTTTTACTACCCTTTTTCTCTGGGACAGTTCCAAATACCGATATACAGAGCAGGCGATGAAACAAAATGCAGGAAGTAGCGAAAAGAAACATTGTTCAAATAACAGAGTGAAGTCGGTATCATCTCGACAACCTCGAATTGTAGGACCGAAGACGTTGTCGGCACGATCACATGCGTCGCCCATTTCGAGAGATATAGCAAATTGAAAGTCTTTCGAAAACGGAGGGGATCCTCTCAAGGGGTTATTAGCCCAGCTTGGCCTCGCTTTGCTTTAGGTTGCAATGGAAACGCAATCGCCGTAACCAATCGGCTCTGAGGTCTACATAGGAGTCTTGTACGGCCGGTTTTAGAGTCCATCGCGTCAGTCCCCGTGTGATTTGACCGCCCTTTTGCTGCATTTATATTAATTTAATTAAAAAAAGGGTTAAAACGGGGTTAAAAAAAGAGCGATCGAAAGGCTTTATAAAAGAGGGTTTGAATCAGTGTTTAAGAGGGAGATTTACTAGTGAACGGAGTGATTCAAGTCCTACTAAGACACTCAAGAATAGCCTACATGTATGATAGTTTTTTTTGGTTGATTTGATTCTTCTTGAAATGAACTAGACCATAACAAAAACCAAGGTTCCTGTTTATGGCCTAGGGAGGCCGTATTTGAGGTTTGACAGCTAGTAAGAACCCGGGTTGGCGCGATGGACTCTACAACCTGCCGTAGTCTTATCTGTACCCCTGCAAACCCATTGACTCTAGACCATCGCCGTCGAGTACAAATACATAGACACCAATGTAAAGTCCACGATAAGAGGAGAAATCGTCAAAACCCGCTCAAGCCCGGTGCCCCACGTATGGACCAAGACTTTAGGGAAATGCTTTGTTTCCTTGTATCTATGTTGTTGCTATATCATCTATATCAGGCTAGATCCAGGCGCGAGAAAAATTTAAGGGGGCGCGGACCTCAAAATAACGAAATTCTAAATTGTATGTGTTTCTGCCTTTTCACTCCATGTCCTTGCTCTTCACCTAAAGGATGCCTTCCCCCAGGGACCCCACTTGCGATGAAGCAACAAGCCTGCTTCAAGAATCAGACGTCTCAGCTCAGTCAAATGTAGTCCAAGAATCTGTTTATCCCCGTTGGATTATTACAGTCGTGCTATTATGCGGCGGCGCGGTTCTTTTCGACCTTTCTAACAATCTGGGTGAAGTCGCCGAGGTTGCTCTCTTGGAAGACATGGTATGCCGAGATTATTATGCTAAGCATGTTGTAAATGCTGTTACTTCTGCAGCAGAAAGATGCAAGATAGAGCCTATTCAGACGGAGATTGCATTGCTCAACGGCTGGAGAGAAACGTTCGAGACTATTCCTGGTGAGTTCATTTTGGAAAAGCGGGGTGTTTTGCGATTCTCTTCTCAAGACAGCGAAACTGAATTTTGGAATAGCCATACTTCTGGCGGTGCCGTATGGGATTCTAGCGGACTGGGTCGGATATCGACCCGTCGCTTTGTTGGCCTTTTTTGGTAGTGCCATGTGCTCCAACTGGAGCAGAGTAGTTTGTAAGTCTAAAACTCACAGTCACATGGACTTCTCAATATACTAACCATGTTGAATAGTCTGGTTTTACCCCATCTTACCCCCTCGTGCTCTTTGGTTCTCTGCCCTTTGGCAGATTCTAGGGGGAGGGCCGCAGGTCGTAACGTCCTTGAGTTTCTCGGCTGTGGCTACTATCACCCCTGCTAAAATGAGGTATGACTACTGTGAAACTCGACCATATGTTGGTTTGCTAAGGAGGCATGTGCTAGAACGACCGTTTTCTCCCAAATGACAGCGGTAATCTTGGCTACGGAGCTGATTGCACCCCCAGTTGGGGCAGCGCTAATGAAAAAAAATCCTTGGGCACCGTTCCTCGCGTCCTCTGTGATTGCTATATTTTCAGTTCTTTGGGGAGTGTTGTTTTTTCCTGCTATCTATAACCAGGCCAAGCCAGCTTCAACCTCAGGCCACGAGCAGCCGCCGGTTCGTGCCTGGTATGCCTCGGAAGGAATCCAAGAGCTCTATGAGCAGCTCTCGCAAAATAAAAATGCCGCACTTGTTGTCGTCTCCTTCTTTGTCACACTTGTAGGAACACACGCCTTTGCGCTTCTATTGCAGTATATCTCGAAGAGGTTCCACACATCATATGCCGAGGTGCGTTCTCTACTTTCTTCCCAGACTTTTGAGCCACTTGTGAATGCTGAACAAAATTCCTTTCCATAGGCATCATACGTGTTGCCCCTTCGGGCTAGTTTTAACCTGATATCTCTATTTATTCTACTTCCTGCCGTGACGGGCTATCTGGATCGCAAGCATGGGTGGGAGATGGGTATAAGAGACAAAGTACTTACCCAGGCCAATGCACTGTTGATGCTTCTGGGTTGCCTATTTATTTTTGTGGCACCAAATCTGATCTTGCTCAGTCTTGGAGTTGTGGTGTTCGGATTAGGATCGTCGTTTTCTGTCACGGCAAGAACATTAGTGACTTCGCTCGTTGAGCCAACATCATTGGGCACAATTTACACACTTCTCAGTGTGATGAGCTCAATTGGATCGCTAGTAGCAGGGCCTCTACTGGCAGGGGTGTATCATCTGGGGATGGTACTCGGTGACACATGGCTTGGTCTTCCTTTTTTATTCGCAGCTGCATTGTATGGACTTGCACTGATCGCTATATCTGCTGTTGGGGCTACTGCAAGGACTGCATGATTTAAACTGGAGCTCTTGTGGTGTAGCATCAGGTCACACTAATTGATGCCTCGGGCATTGAACTTGCCCGGAAGGACATAGTCAAGAGTTTTGCTTCCTGTAAGAACAAACTCCCTCCCTCCCAATCTTTAGTGCGTAGACCCTAGCACAATCAGCTCGCTACGCTGCTTTAGGGTGGAATTGGAAGTTCCTTTACCCCTTCAGGCTTAGAAGCGGTTCTGATGGTTATCTGATGGTCCCATGCCCAATCGACGACTTCATCGAAATTCCGACAGGTGTGTTTGGTGTTAAAATTAGGGTATGGCGAGTTCCTCCCGGCTACCCAGTTCGTAGTAACAAGATTGGTATCCGCATGGCACATGACAAACTGCCTCATCATTTCAACGCAATGGTCTAGGCTTGGCTGTTAGAGGAATCTATCACTTCAGAGCTGGATAACAAACCGATGTGAGTCCGCTGTATTGCTTCACTGTCCGAGAACTCCTCTTGTTCTTCGTTGTATTGGTTCCGATATGTCCACATGCGTATAAAGTCCTGAGCAATAGACATATTTTAGAGAAAAAGCCCATTTTTCGGTTAAGAGGATACGCTGGAGGGAGAATCACGAAAACCTACCACACAATGCATCTGATGCGAGAATTCAAAGTGAACTCGATAAGCGCCTCCATCCTCAGGAGGAAGCTTTACTGTGGTATCTGGATCCATGCCCAATAGTCGTATGTCATCGTCAGATAAAGAAACATTCACTGCCCCAACTACATTGTGATGTTAGTGTTTTGGTTTTGCTAATTCACGATTTATTCAAGATATCCCGAATGCCTTTGTTTGATGCTTACGGTTGATGGAACGAGCCCATGCGCGATCGATGTCTGGTGATGGTGCACCTCGGAAATTTGATGGATAGTCCAGAGTTCCATTGAATGTGACGGACTGATCGTACGACCGTGGAAGGGACTGGAGGTGTTTTTCTGTAAATCGATCAGCTTCCACTCATGCCAAATAACGATAATCTTACCTTGAAGATAAAGCAATGCCGCTGAAGGTTCAATATATGAACTATTTGACTTTTTCAACGCGTGCCCAAGGCCAAGTACCAGAGCAGTATAACCGGCGAATAGACTCAATAGTGCAAGCTTTTTAACGATAGAGATCTTACAGCCACTTGCCACATCCAACATTTTGGGCCTGTTTTTCACATCCTGATAGACTTCGCTAATCTCGCTTTCATCAATACTTTGCCTTGCCTCAACGTCCTGGAGAGCGGAGTACCCGCTGGGCATTTTGACAGGCTAGTGATGAAATCCTTAGCCTGTTGAAAGTCTTCTAGTTGCAATCTGTTTTGTATAAAAAACTCATCATCTTCGAGCAGACCGATAGACATCCCTCCCTTCATTTCTTGTTTTTGCGAAATGAGGGGCATTTTCTTCATGCAGCCAACAGCATGATCTGAGTGCATTTGTCGGAAGCTAAGAGGGACGATGCATGATTGTGAGTCTGACAGTGCATTAGGTTATTTTTTTCACCACAGGAAATGTACGTCCATGCGCCAGACTAATGACACTGGTACTAAGGAACTCTTCGACCTATACGAGGCGAGGAAGTCAGTGAGGGACGGCATAATCGACATTCACTTCGCACAACAAAAGTACTTCAAGAAGGGAACAAGAGATAACACGCTATCGAAATCCACTGGTATCAACATGCCTTCAGCATTCACACTTGACGGCATTGAGCGACTCATTAGAATCATATCTTTCCTACCCTGAATCCATAAGATAAACAGTTCACATGGAAATACCCCGTACATTTAAACCTCAAGGTTCTATAAAAACACTTTCCACTGTATCGTTGATTTCCCAGTCCCATTTTTCGATTGGGACTTTCTCCGACCGTCGGACAATATCCCAGATGTGGCCGGAATCACGACATTGATGCACATATCCCATACCGTCAATACTCAGATCGACCAAATTCCCATCACTATTATACTGCTCTTGTGGTGGCTCAATCGTATCGTCAGCGGAGCACATCAAAGACTACCAGTCCTCATGTTAGAATATTCCGCAGGGAGGTGACCAATCAGTTTGGTTGAAGAAGACAAGAGTTTCCTACCTGAGTAATGTAGCTAAAGCAATGTTGTAGATGAGATTCATCCAAGTGTTCTAAATGTTGTTCATGATGATCCCCATGGCTGCCTGGCATGGAGCCAGTTCCCATTTCTCTGGCCCGTTGAAGCGAACTGCGAATCAACTGAAGACAATGCAGTCCATGGAACATCGAGATCCCCCAGTTTTCTTTCATGGTTTCGTTCCTACGGACTACCAGGAACCCACCATGGGGAGTAAATAACTCTGTCGCCCATGCCTCGTCTCCCTTGTGCGACAAATCCTCCAAAGTGGGACGCATTGTAAATTCTGTCGGAATAGTGAGGGTCTCTTGATGGTGTATGCCACAAAGCGATCTTTGAATCTTGGATGGACTCCAAATATTGGCTTTGAAACCGAAAGTGAAAATCAAGAAGAGTAGAGGGGATAGGAACAAGAAGACTTTGAGTAGAAAATTGACGGCCATTGTCGTGGTTTGGGTGACTCAAAGAGAAACAGAGACGAATGGAAGATGTCTCAGGTGTTGTAGATCGCAACTTGGACCTGGGCTAGATAAATAGGTTCCCAGGATATCATAGCCACTGCCCCTTAATTCGTCAATCATTCGTCGGCATTGTTTAGCTTGGGACATATCCGTCGACCTCTGACCCCCGGGTGGGCCCAGTTCCCACACACTAAAAGCATAAGAGATCTAACATTGACGAACTGATTGAGAACGTTGGTTTTGCAAATTCGTTCTGAGGTGTTAATGGGATTACAGTTGAGGTCTATACACTGACAATCCACTATTTAGTCTTCGATAACTGAATCGTCCTATTCTGGTCTCTCGTCTTTCACATAAATGACCTCTCCTGGTCCAAAACATCTCTAGGCACCACCCTTTGTTCTGTTCCAATCAGGCTCCAGAAAAGCTGGGCCTTTCAGAGAAGTTCAGGTCAGCATTTCTATCAACGCACAGTTGGGGTGTCAATCTCTTACCTAGTTCAGGATGCACAATCAGACTGTAGTCATTTACGTCAATGGCTCTCTTGCTAGCCCAATTATCGATGCGTTCCCAGTTTCTACATTCATGAGCCAATCCGAAGTCGGGCCATGGAAGACTGTAGTTGGGAATCCATTTGTAAGTAGTCAACGCAATGTCTCCTCGGCACATGACAATCTGACGTAGCATGTCAATGCAGTGATCTTTTGATTTGTTTCCAACGTTAGATTTCAATGCTAGATTCTCACAAAGTAGGGCCCACCTAGGTGACACTTACCAACATGGTCCATGTTTGACACCGGCGTCGCTTTGAGATTGTAGTACTCTGAGTGAACATACTCACGAATATATCTCTGTTCAAAAAGATCAGCCGAAGATTTGATGTAAATGTTTCCATTGTGCGTTACTTACCACACAGTGTAGCTGATGATAGACGTCTACTCGTAACTATCATCAATACACGTACCGGACCAAGACCAATTTTGAAGCGCTGAAGTCTTCAACTTACCAAGTGTCCCATAAAAGTCACCCGAGCCATCTGACAGCTTCACTGAGGTTCTCTTTGTTTTTTCAAGCTCATGTGGTTTAAGCCTGATGTTTGCATCTTAATTCGGATCAGCACTCTGTCAGTTAAGATCCAGTTGAGGCTGACTTTTAAATAGCCTTGTCCATGCGGCATCGTTGGAAGGATTTGGTTTTCCGTTGTATTCATTTTCGGACTTTAATTCAACATGGATGATCTTCTCCTCGGGCTGTACAGCATCTCTTGCTGGAGCTAGTAAAAATTGTCAACAACCAACGAAGGTGATTCTTAGAATCTAAAACTCACAATAGATTAATGCCGGTTCGCATACTGAGCTCGAAGGTGAATATGAGGCACTCTTCAGGAGACATGCAAAGAAGAATAGATTAAAGAACGTGAAAGTGCAATTTGACCAAAAATAACGACTTTGATAAATTCGTTGCAGCCCTCTTCTATTGGTTCTGTCAGACTGACTGAAGGCCTCCGATTTGAGCAGTGAAGCCTCGGGGTTGTCAAAATCTAGCGACATGGTAACTAAAGATTATACCGAGCTATGTTCATGCCAAATCAAACTCCATCTTCTTAAACTATGACCGATCCTCGGACAGTGGTTTGATGATATCTAAAGAGAAGTGGAATACTCTACGGCCGAAAGGCCTGGATTTGTGATTGGTCGATGCATCGTCAGCACTTGACATACGCATAGAAGTAGTACGAAACCAAAATGAAGGATTTCTTATCTGCCCCTCATCTGCAAGAGCGCCGGAATCCCCTCTTTCAATTCCAAATATAGAGTAGTGCCATCGTGCTTGAATTTTTGCGTGCTACACCGTATCTAAACAGAATCTCGAAAGTCGGAAGCATCTGTCACGGCCCCCGGGGGCAGTGAAGCAGCCATGTAAAATACCCCCCACCTCTGCACTAGTCCAAATTAGACAGAGTACCGTTCGGAGAACCGCTTCACTATTCAAGACCCTGCACCTGTCACCGGCTAGAATTGCCAGTCCTCCTCTAATCCTACCTTGAAGTGCTACCTCCAAATACCCCCCGATCACCTTATTGGCACACGTCGACATTCCCCGCCCCCCTCATATTCTAGAGATCACCACTGAAGAAGATCTCAGCAGAGAAAGACCCCGTGCAATTTTCATCAAATTGGGATGGATTTAATGAAGACAGAAAAGCGAGGAGAAACATGATCTAACTACTAGCTAGCAAACAGGTGCGGTCACCATGGCTATCTGACCCCTCAAGCCACGAAACAGATCTCAAAAGGAATTTGATACGGAAATGGTGCTTTTGATTACCATCATAACGATTGGACTTTGACAGGAACCTTGGAAGAGAAATAATAGATAACCTGCTCTCTCCTCTTCCAACACTACTGCGAGACCCATTCGGTGCTCCGATGGGGAATCGGATGCACAACGCACAAAAATAGCCTATCAAAACACCCCTATCGGTGGAGCAAGATCTGCCTACATTATGTGGAATGGCGAGACGAGCTTTCCACTGACTGTGGACTAGCTTGTCATCTCAAATTCGAGTTACTAGTCCCATCTCACGTACAAGGGAGACACTGTGTAAAAAAGGTTGGGCTGGCGAAAAAAAAAATGAAAAAATCTGCATCTTCTCTTAAATTTCCAAATTAGCCAAGCATTACTAGTTTCGGGGTGAAGTAGAAATCTCGATGATCATCATCATCACACTAAGACTACCAGATCAAGGTGAAGGATTCTCATGACAAGGTAGTTCACGTCTAAGTAACTCTAATCGATGGGTTATTTAAGAAAAGTACCTATCTGAGACTCCAGATTTAGAGATTAGATCAATGGTTAAGTACTCCGCAGTTTGAACAACGGCCACCAGTGGAGTAATACTTCGTTCATGTCCCGTGTTGTGTGATGGATTACTATACACCATCTTTAGATTCCATCGACAATAGTGTCAGCCATTTGCAGAATGGTCAAAACTTGGTCTTTGTTAATAACCATGTGAATCCTCTATTTCTCAGTCTGGAAGACGGACAAGAAAGTCGGAGGAGGAAACAAAATCGCTTATACCAGCGTAAGCATCGTGAGTGTTAGACTTATACCTTGAATTTTGGAATCAAACCTCTAACTGCAATGGTGGGTCACTGTTGCAGGGCAAAGATCAAAAGAGTCGATGCCGTCAAGAGGTGTTGAACCTTCCATGAAACAAGTACCACCACAAGGTATTATTGTCTCTAGTTACGGCGCTACTATATGAATCTTAACTTGTTAACCTTCAAAATCTTTTCAGACCCCAATGTTCTTTCAACTGTGCCCCCGGGCTCAATGGAGAATACCCATAGCAACGGAGGCAATTCTCAAGGGCCCGAAACTCCCGCAATGGTGACCGACTTCTCGGTCACTCAAATGGTCGAAGATATCTTGGAGCATGATCAGGGACGGCGGGGTTCTTGGACGGGGCGGGGCCGCTTTCAAGAGGTACGGTTCGAAATTTGCAGGATTAAATCGCCATTTGAGCCATCTTTACCTTCTATGTTGCATCTCCTTAATCTCAAAATGACACCCGTGGATCATCCAATGATCGCCTTCAATCAGTCGGTCTCATATCAAGGCTGTATGAGAAACTGATGTTCTAACTACGTCTCAATCTCTAGTCTGAATTCCAAAATCTGGCCACAAAACCTATGGAGAAAGGAAATACTCCATTGCATCAAGCTGCCTCTTATGGCCAACTACCTATTGTTCGTCTACTCTTGGCTCGAGGTGCAGACCGAAGATCGGTCAATACGCTCGGCAAAACGCCGCTGCATTTGGCAGCCGAGTTGGGTGATCTTGAGATGGTACAAACTCTGAGTAATGACAGATCTGTTATCAATATGCAAGACAAATCTGGATCGACGGCACTACACTTAGCTGCAATGGCTGGCCATCATGGAGTGGTTCAAATCTTACTGGACGGTGGTGCGGATATAGAAGCTAGAATCTGATTGTGCTGATAGTCCCTTTTGCTGGTTTCCATGGTAGAGAACTTGGAAGAAATTGAGAACGATTCTGTGTTCCTATGACCTCCTAGACAGTATATGGACGTAGTATGCTATAGAATTATAGATCCACCGTGCGCCTATAGAAAGTCACTTAGTTAGGATAATTCGTAATAAACCGAAATCAACTTCAATTTACCATCCTCAGTGTAGAGCGGCGCCGACTTTATCTCAGGCATGGCAAGGCATCCACCATTAAAAATCTGGCATTTGACCTTTGGCCGCTCTTTCCCTTTGCAGTCATTGGTATGGCACCGAAAGCTCTAGTGCACTCAAGTCCTCAGGCTAACACCTCCTCCCATGCATTGTCAGGTCAGCTGAGCTCAACGTCGGATTATCAACATCTCCATATACACAAAAATGCACTAGTGCACAGTCAGCATAACTGGCGTCAACATATGTACTTGCATGGAGTTTTTTTCGAGGGAGATCGGTGTTTCGATTTATCACGTTTGCGGAGAATGGCGATTCTTACTGAGTCCCAACGAAGGTTCACAACTTCGGGTATAAATTTGACATGATAAGAAGCGTAAAATCTATGATTCATCTTTCATCCTAACCAGACATACATCCACCCAATCCACAGGTTTCTTGATCTATTCACATCAATCAAAATGCATCTCAAAGCGGTGATTCTTGTCGCTGGCTGCCTTGCAGCGGAAGGCCTTGTTGTTGCAGCTCCTGGTAAAGATCCCGGCATCTTCTTAAAAATTGACTCGCTTGGTCTCAATTCTAATGCTATATCAGTGAAGCGCTCCGAAGCCGACACTGAGGCCGCCCTGGGTAACTACAAAGTCTTCAGCAGCTACGAAGACGCGAAGGAGAAGCGCTCCGAAGCCGACACTGAGGCCGCCCTGGGTAACTACAAAGTCTTCAGCAGCTACGAAGACGCGAAGGAGAAGCGCTCCGAAGCCGACACTGAGGCCGCCCTGGGTAACTACAAAGTCTTCAGCAACTACGAACAGAAAGAGAAGCGCGTCTAGGCCAACAACGAGGGTGTTCGAAGTGGGTCAAATCTCCTCAGCAGAGCTGCAATGATTTGACCCACCGGATGCGAGTCTCTAAGGTATCCTGGGTGACCATGACACCGATGAATGAAGCTTCGACGTCCTCCTAGCATCCAAGAGAAACTTAAATAGCTGTATAGCAAGATATTTTTGAATGCACGCTGTAGAATCATATTCTACGGTCAACGCTTTCTCCCTTTCTTGAGCGATTATCTTCCTACAACTTCCTTCTATTTCTCTTGCGCAACCCAACGACTAGTGCCCCCAAGTAGCTACTGACCTCGCTGCACATGCGCCTACATATCGGCCACGAAAAAGTCGGAGTGGAAGGTTTCAGACGTGAAAATGAAAGAATTTACAACGATGGACGTGGTATTACAGACGGGTGCGACAATGACGGAACTTGTAGGGGTGGAATCCTCAATCACGCGGAGTAGCAGGCTTAGCTAAATGGGACCTAGATTTGGTTAGAAATACGCACGGACACGTTCTTGGGCAGAAGAAGGAATTCATATGCCCATCCACTTGCCTAGAAGCAAAAGAACTTATCGTATCATTCAATGAATGCGGGGGTAAATCTTACCAGGACAATGCAACCGAAGGCAGAGAACAGGTTTAGAAAATACCATTGCATACTGCATACAAGATATATTGTCTTGCAGATGGTCATGATTTCGGTAAGTTGAAAGATGTGAAGTCCTGCGGAGAACATATCGAAGAATATCAAAGCAATGGAATTCTTTCAGGACATTTTTATGCTGAAACTTCTAAATTCGAATACAGCATGGCCCCCCATATTTTATATAGAAGTAAGAGAAGCCGCAACTTGCACCAGTCGGCAGCAATTTAACACCAAGCGTACCTCAACGCAAAAGAAATCCTAGAGATGCTTGAAAAAAAATCTAAGGTACACCAGTTGACCAGCAGTTTTCGCGCATTCAAAGAAGTTGAATAATATCTTTGAACTCATCAAGCAGATCAATGCCATCATTATTAGGCCATGATGCAGTCAAATCCATCCGACCACCGATCAGAGGAGAAACAGCAACCGGAGAATCGAGAAACACAGGAGAGACAGAAGACGCAGGCTGATCTGGATTTAGTGGGTTTTCATCATTCGAAATGTTTGAACCATGAAACTGTAAAGCAGAAACACAGGGACTTTGCTTCGCCCGCTTTGAATTTTCCGTTCCAGTTTCGTCTTGACTTGCCTTCCGTTTCAGGTTGGGAGGTGAGTCTGCTCTTAGTGAGAGTGAGAGTGTGCTCTTCTTGACAGGAGACTCTTTGTTAGTTGTCTTTGGAGATCCCGCTGAGTATGGCGGTGTGTCGTCCGGAATCTCGATTATCTCGTGTTGAGGTGTGTGGGATGATGGCTTCGTTTGGTTGTTTTGAGGTTGGCCTGACCGTGAAGCAGAGGGAGAAGGCTCGGGGTCTATGTTCTTCGTTTCAACGATCGGATAATCCGTGGGCTTGCTCTTCGCCTGATCTTCCATCACTGGAAAAACTGAAGTTGCAAGCCCTGATCCCCTATTTCTGAGAAGACAAGATGGTAATGGTAGATCGTCGAAGGTTTCATCACCATAATCACTGGAGAGGGGGTTCGCCGGACTCTTTTCCCACTTTCTCTTACAAAAAGAAAGGTTCTTGTCCCTCTCCAAAAGGACAGACTTCTCACAACTTGCAATGTTCTTTGTTGCTTGCGATGTTGATATCTTCTTCGCCTTAGAAGCATGGTCGTCATTCTTTGGCCCCGTGGCACAGTGTTTGACCCCTTGCTTTTCCATAATTGATTTAGCGGTTGGGGTTGGCTTTGTGATGCTGGTGGAGATAGTCAGTTGATTGAGACCGGCTTCCTTTTGATTCGCGGGGATGGTCCGCTTCGGTGGCTTCGGGGGTTTTTCCAAACCCTCACGGCAGCAGAAATGTTTGCAACTGGGATTATTAGCTTAAGAATGCAGTGATTAATGGCTTTCTCAAACCTTGTTTTGTCTTTGCATTTGTGGTTGCATGCCCATTTGCCATTTGCAAGTCTAACAGGCTCGTATTCATTCGCAGGCGCATCCATATCCACCGTCCAGTCACTTTCTCGGGCGTTTGAGATCTTCTGCGCTGCCCTAGCTGGACTCGGCGGAGTTGAATTAATTGAAAACCAATCTACATCATCAAACTCGCGAGGTTTTGGCCTTGTAGATGTCGTGGCTTTGCCAAGACGTTCATTCGTAATGAGGAAATCATCGAGTTGCAAGTCATCGCCATCAAAATCATCCACGTCCCACCGAGCCTTAGTCTTGTTACTAGTCATATCTCGTTCGTGGGGACGAGACACATCGGTCTTAGGTTTTTCTTCGTCTTTGGAATTCACATTCCCCTTGGGGGGACGAGATAGTAGGTTCGAAATTTCCATATTCTGGGTACTGGTATTCTTATCTCGCACAGTATCAAAGAGGCTAGATGGCAGGTCATGTCTGAGCTCAGCTTGTCGGGATGTCCCAGCTGGAAATCGTCAGAATGAATATTTGTGATGCACAGAGGCAAAAGCAGAATGAATCATCGCTCTTATTCACGTTCGAAAGTCTTACCAATTTCATCACACATAACATGGCAGACAATAAGATGCTCCACACTGGTCAAGCCTGCGGTAAGTTCAATTTCCAATTTCTCTTGGAGCTTGCTCGCGCTGGAATGGCATCAACCTTTACCTCTAACGAAATAACTGGACGAACATCTTACCTTGTGCGTCTGAAATCGATCATGTATCCATCAGACCTCTCTATCAAGCAAGAAACATAAATCGGGCGATGTTGGAAGAACGTCGGGATCTTGTCGTTCATGAACGCAACTTCAGCCTTGAATCGGACAATGACGCAGTCAACTTTCACTTCCTGTGTCCCACATTAGCAAAATGGAATTTGCGATCAAAGGAAATTTGGAAACCTTTCCAAGCATCTTCAGAGAAACCCTCAATTTTGGGAATTCCTTCAATCTTGAAAGCAACTTCGACCCGAAAGGCGGATTCTTGCTAAGAACCATCTCAATCTGATGAGCCTCAGCACATTCCAACCCTTCAATACTGGTAATCCCAGCAGCAGCCAACTTCCGAACTGCAACAATGCCCACTTGCTCGATCTGCTTCATTTGAAGAGGCGAGTGGTCCCAAACCTTTGCTCCGAAGCTCCGAGCGAGTTCAAGGGCATTGCGGATCGCGATTGAGTCGCCGCGGGCAATTTCACAGTCAATCAGGCAACGGATTAGTCGGTTAACATGCGCGAAGACTAGGCTTTTGTCTTGTTGGAATGTGAATTTATGCTTTTGGAGAGCGTCATTGTTAGGGTATTCAACAGCCCCCAGCTCTGATTGGAGGAGTAGTGAGATTTTGTGAGCTGGAAGGGCTAGGTCGACCTTGATAGGAAAACGAATCCCTGCGTCACGATTGATCTCTCGGTAGAGTGATTTCTCGCCGGCTTTGAGGCGAATCTCGTGGAACTCTTCGCCTTGTGCGACAACGTTAAGCTGGAATAGTAATGTCAGGTGAAGTTCCGCATTTCAACAATCTGGGAAGAGTAGACCCACGATTTCGGACAGAGATGCTTTTGGCTTCAGTGACAATAGAACTTTCATAGTCTCAAACCGGACGTAGTACCGAGCCATGGCTTCGCCAAATTGGGTTGAACGTAGTCTCTCGGCTTCAATCAAACCACATTTTTGAAGGAGATCTATGTCCTTCTCACAGATGTGGCGAAGCAACTGATCCTCATCTTCTTGGCTTGCCCCTTCTTTGAGCTTGTAATGCGTCGGATTCCGACGCAGTCTTACAAACAAAAATGTCCCTGCAAGCCAGTTGACAGCCGTTTCCACGTCCGAGATATTCCCCAGACCGATCTCGGCATTTAGATGATCGATCAGATTCAAATGCAAGCAGCTCTCCAGACTCTCTGACCCCTGAACAAGTTTCTCGTAGTGAGCCACACGCTCCTTCCTGGTGAGAATGACTGCTGTTGCGCTGTCGTCGAATTGAGGCCGGCCCGCGCGCCCGAGCATCTGCATCATCTCCAAATCCGAGTACTCCTTGCAGCCTCCATCTTGCCAACTGACGGTGTTTTTGATTATGACGAGGTGACAAGGTAGGTTTATCCCAACTGCAAGTGTTGACGTGCAGCATATGACGTAGATATTCCCCTCTCTAAACCCTGTCTCAACTGCGTGGCGATCAGCGGGGCCCAAACCAGCATGGTGGAACGCTACACCAGCAGGAAGTGTTGCTATCTTTAATTAGCAGTTTGGGTCTAGAAAATAGCTCAGGTACATACTTTTAAGATCCTCGTTATGGGCTTCGAGGCGCTTCTTGGGTTCCTTCCAAAGCCTGGCGGGCGGATTCGTCAATGTGAAGAGCCGAGCTAGTTCTTTCGCCGTCGCGAGCGATGAATTCCGTGTGCAACAGAAAATCAAGATGGGCTTCTTGCAGGAATGCATTCCGATCACCTCGGGTAACCTTTCAAAGCAATGGTCAGAATACCAAACGAAAAACTCAAAAATAGAGAAGGCGGTAGCAAAAGGGCATCCAAGAACTTCATAAAAGGCCACATACTTTGAACCACAGACTTTATCAAACGCAAAGTCATTCAGGCTAGACGTAAATCCATAGACAAACTTCTTCAACACGACAGGACGAAACTCCTCGCCAAAATGCTCGCGATGCGCAGGAAAAGGTTGGTTTGTCGCATCCTTCCCAAGCCAGGTAGCAATGTCCTCGGAGTTGGGAACAGTAGCACTCAGAGCCACAAATCTCACATTCGATCCGATATTCTTCATCCGAGAAACCACAGCCTCAAGCGTAGCTCCACGCTTTTCCTTCAGAATATGTACCTCGTCAATGAGAAAGAGCTTCACGAGCTGCATCAGCTTCTTATGATCTTTCCACTTCCGAGTCATGCTATCCCACTTCTCGGGCGTCGTAATGATAATCTGGCTACTCTGGACATTGCGCAGCTGCATGTGGTCTGTATCCCCGGTCAGTTCTGCGCATTTGAGGTTCAAGCTGGAGAACTTGGAGTGCCAATCTCGGAACCGCTCGCTGCAGAGAGACTTAGTGGGTGCTTGGTAGACTACTTTGAAGCGCTCGTCTTTGAGAGTATTCAGAAGTCTGCATATAGCCAATTCCATCACCACTGTCTTGCCGCTGCCGGTTGGCGCGGACAGAACGATGTTGTCATTGCTGTTGTAGACGGAGTGGAAGGATTTGGATTGAATGGCATTGAAAAGTGGGAAGGGAAACATCGTGCGGTAGTTCTCCGGTAGGTTATTCACTGATACAAGAACTATTCCCCGCACAGAGGGTGTGATGTTGCTAAACTGATTTCGACGTTGCCTATTGCCAGAGAAAGCCTCGGGGCTCGCTTGAGGGATCACTTCCTGGGGTGAAGTCTCATCGTTGTAAAGACCACGGTTCGTCTCCAGGCTGCGCTGTCCCACTCGGATTCCATCCTTCTTAGGACGGAACAAAGCTAACGGGCTTGAGGGAGGCCCTAATACAGGGTCCGATGAACTGGTTTCATTCCAGCGAGAAGAAGAGACGCTCGAGCTTGCTTTTGCTTGTCAATCCCAAATCACCAAGACAGAAATCACTCGTATACAAGCAACTCACGCTGAAAGAAATGAGAGAATTGCGGCGGCTGTCTATCAGGCTGACAAGACGCTAGAAGTGGCGTAGATCTAGGAACTCTGAATTCAGAGTCTTTATTTGCCTTTTCTCTATCCTCTGAGGCCAGTAGTTCCAGGTCTTATTTTAATCAGTACATACCATAATGATCAGCCGGCAAACTCACCGAAGGCATCTAATTGAGGCTCGTTATCCTGGGCAGATGTCGCTAGGTCATTGAAGGGCCTTTGGAAAGGCATTCGGAATGGTTTAAAGTTCGGGGTCTGGTGGTTTTTTCGCATTTTCAAATGTGTTCTCGACAATTAGGAAGGGATCGGGGGTTGGAGGTGATGGATTTCATTAGTGTTCAGTTCCAAAGTCCATGGTCCCGATAACGTGACAGCACGTGGGACCACCTCAGGCATTTTGAAGTAAGCAAATTTACTGTTGTAGTTTCTTTTCAAAAACCAGCAAGAATAGGAATTGTCAAGCATTGTAGGTTTTGTGAAAGTGTATCATTGCTTCGTATATATTCACACATGAGCCAAAGCCAGCAAGCATCTTGACAGTAAGAGGACATGCAGAAATGGGCAGCAAAGAGTCGCTAGCTCCAAATTAGGAGCTGCATGAAGAAAAGTGCAAAGGCTCGCGGCGGGTGGTCTTCCTAAAGGCCGCACTTACATCCGCATCTATCAGGTGTCCAATATCATTTCCCATTAAAAACGCATCTCATTAAGGAGGCCGGTATCAATGTGAATAGCCGGTTACAGCAATCACTTCTCATCGAAGTAGCTGCCCGTTTCTGCATTCCGGCTAGAGCTCACTCTAGTTTGGCCTGGTGCTGGTGAGGCAGGACGGGATGACGACATGCCGTGAGAGAGGAAAGGCGAGATCGGAAGTTTAATAGAGAAGTCGTTGGGAGGTGCCACGGGAGAGCTATCAGGACCTGCGGTGTCCTTTTCGTAGGCATCAATGCGGATTGGAGGTGCACGCAAGGCACCCATCGCAGGGTGGAAGATGGGGTTCCCATAGTAGTGGGTTGCTGTCAGAACTGCAGCCGAGCCCAGGAGGAACTACAATGTCCCAGTCAGTCTCGTTCATAATTATCATGTGGGGGGAAGTCCGGAAGTATTCAAAATGCAGGGGGCGTACGCTTGTAGTGACTTCAAAGTCAAAGAGCCAAATGCTTCCGACAATGCTCAAAATTATATTGACAGTTGTGGCCAAACTCCTTGCATCCTTCTGCGCGTGGCTGACGTAAAATGCAGAAACGATACCACCCAAGGCTTGAATGATGATGGTAGACCATACCGCCCAATTGTAGCCCTGGAAGAAGCCATCTTCAGCGATTTTTTCGCCATCCTGGAAGACAATTCCAATGAAGAGAGCCGGAAATACGGAGTAGACAGCCAATTGCACATTGCGGACCCATAACGAGATATGGCTTGAGCTGTCCTTGAGGACTTTCTCGAAATAGATACTCTCAAGTCCAGAAGCCAAGGACGCGCCGATAGTCGCAAAGAGACCAATGGCGGGGTTCAGATGTGGGTCAGCCGTCAGGATGTCTTGTTCGATTCCCTCGTATGTTGCAGACCGCTTGTGCAAACTGCTGCCAGAACCAGCACCTTGCTTAAGAGCCTTCCACTCCTCCAAGGATCGAGGGAAATTGTGGCTAGCGTGATCTTCGTTCAGCATCTGCTCGGAGCTGCCATTGGGAATTTGCACCAACGCCACGCCCACGATGAGAAGCAAAAGGAGGCCCCACTTGCGGGGAGGGATGCTCCGTCTCAGGAGCATCAGACCAAACACTGCTGTTGTAAGAAACTTCAGCTGGAATGTAATCTGGAACGACGCTGCTCGTTGGTTCGAGAGCGCAATGTACAGGAGAGAGTTAGACAAGACGTCGAGCGCAGCAGGGATAGCGAGTTTCCAGCTGTCGCCTGAAAACACGGCGCTTGTGAGGGAGAAAAAGAGGGATGTGGCGGGCATCGATGGTGGTGCAGTTTTGGAGACATCGTAAAGTGCCATTGTGAGGGAGATAGCCAGCTTGATCACATCAACTAGGAAGACCGCCGTAGAGGTCAGGTAGCGTTTACCACCGGCGGGGGGCATAACTCGAGAATAATGAGCTAGCTGTATTGTTATATTATCACAAATTAGCCTTACACTCCATTTCTGTCACCAGAATTTTCCACGGTGGCTTACCAAAACAAACGCAGTCGATTCCGCAGTCAACTAGAAAGAAACATAGACAAGTCAGCAATAGAGTCCCCAAAGCCGCAAAGGCCGTGTAATGCCCAAAGAGCTCATACCAGAATCCACGGTGCAATGCTGGCTGCAGCTTGCAGCCCAGACGGCTGGCGTTGGGCGCGATCTCCCATGATGAAGAAGCAGATCGCGTGTTCCCTCTGACCAGTGGCTAATGTTTCCGCAAAAGGGGCACGCAGTGCAATCTTCAGTCCGGTGAATGTGGTAAGTGGGGTCAATGGAGGGAACGGCAAGAAAAATTGTGTATGATGTAGAGCAAACTGCAGACCCCAATCCGCGAACCAGGGGTGTGGGTTGTTCTGAAGATCTTCGGACCCGATAGAGTTTCCCGAGGCGATCGGAGACGATGTGGGTGGCTAGGAGGCGAAAGAGAGCATGGGCGTTGGCTAACTCCACTGCATGAAGGAGAGTTTGTCGAAGAACTCGAAAAGAAGAAAAGGAAAGGAAGATAGAGTGATCAGGAAGCAACAATCTGGTGTTGTAGACGAGAAGGTCGGCGGTCAGAGAGTGTGGGTCACGTACAGAATCATAGGCTAAAGGTTCAAGCGTAGGAGTTTCCTCTGCAGTAGGTAAACAGTGTGTACATATACATAGTTGTGGGCTTCGTCTTTGATGGTCTCATCTCACATTTGCAATGTTTTGGATCGATGGCCAGCCCCTTAACCTTGAAAGTTGTTGATGACGTCGAGCTGCCTACAGCATCTCCACCCCATCCGCAGCCCCCAATGTTATTCCTCCCGTGTCGTCATTCATCCATTTTGTAGATTTTCCAAGCATTTGTTCATGTTTCAGACGACATCTAAAAGACAGTTAGAAAGAAAAGCTTTCTAAAAAGCGCTCAAAGCAGACAGGATGCTCCGAGTTCAGTATTTTTAGACATTAAAGGTTGTATGAGCGGCCGACTATTATCTTTCTATATGGACACAAATTTCTCATTTCTCTTTCGGAGGGTCATCTAACAATCAAAGTACGCAAAAATGTTGGGGAAATTACTTTTAAAAAGAGAGAAATGAGCGGTGAATCCTAAAATCTAATAGGGCCAATGTCCCTTGTGGTCGCCATGCATTGTGATGTACGGCTCAGGCTAAGCTGGAGTATCATTTTCGGGCAGGGCTAAGTACCGAATCGAGCAAGAACATTGTGCAAGTTTGGTTGATGAATCGGTGATTGTTGAAAATGGGTTTGTCAACAATCGTGAACCGGAAATATTGGAATCGTGAGAAAAGCACGAAACCCGTCCAAAATAAGCATAGTAGCAGGTATAGAAGGCCGTACATGAACGCTAATCCAAAAATGTGTGATGGGTAGTGAAAAGAGGCAAGAAATAGAGAGGGTCCTATATGAAAGGGACAAGTGAGGTCTATATACTTGGGTAAACAGAAGCTTGGAGCAATGTGCTGCAAGATGCAATCTAGTCAAGGAAATGTAGGAAAATTTGTTGAGGATGAAATGAAGTGGGAATACAGATGGAGAGAGGAGAGGAGGCGAGGGGGGGGGGAAGAAGTGAAAAGGATCATGTAAGGGGTGGACTAAAAGAGGGTTGGGTTAGGGTGATAAGGGCCAAGCGATCAGTGCACAGAGGCGATATTGGCGCTTTCCCGGTTCCAATCAAAATCAAAAGACCAGAGAGGAAGTCCATTGTTACGCTTCAACTCATCACCATCATCCAGCAGGATAGCCTCGCTACTGTCGGTGCGACGGCGGGTGTGTTGCTTCCGATTTTCGGGGATAGCAGGCGGGGGGCCTCTTGGGGGTGGCTTCGGAGAGGGAAGCGGCGAGAAACGATGAATCGGTAAAGTGGGTGTCATGGGCGAAATACCGCTGGTGGAAGGGGAGGGCAGGCTCTCAGAGTAGTCCGCACTGAAACCAGAAGAGGAAACTTTAGTGCGGGGTTTCCTTTCATTATCCGAACCCGAGCTTGGGGAGGGCGTTCCATCTTTGTATTGGGTAACACCCTTTTCTGACGAGACGTCAAATGGCGGGAATGCATTGCTGAGACGCAGGAATGAGGTGTCGGATTCGCAGAAGGAATCTAGCGATGGGCCAGAGGCGAGTGATCTTCTATCCGCTCCAACAGCATTGAGCAGACTGGGTGTGACTTTGCCCTTCCGAATACGCATTGCCTCTAGGAGATCTTGCTCTTGGCGGGTCACAGCGATCACACGACTCCTCCGGTTCAACTCTTTCAACTCTGCGGGGGTGCGGAGAGGTTGCTGCGGGAATTGCGCCAGAATTTCATCCGGGATACTAGGAACTCCGCTGGAACGGCGAGTTTGCGTTGTACGTCCAGTTTTCTGAGAAGATTTCCCATTCGAGGATTGAGAGGCCTTTCGTGGGCGAGCTACAGGCACTGGCAGGCTATTTTCAGTTTGACGGGAGCCACGTGTGCTAGTCGAGAGTGCCCGGTCAAAGCGTCTTACCGCCGTGGCAGCATGGGCGGTGGAAGACGTGTAGACGTGAGGCTCGTCTTCGTCATAAGTAGCCACACTGCCTCTTTTAAACTTGTTCGTATTGCGCATTGACTCGGATGTTGGAGTAAGGTCATCGTCATCCTCATCCTCTGAAGAAGAGGAGAGGCAAAGCATACTAGTGTTTCGCAGGTCCTTGTTTTTCAAGGTATTTTTGCTGCTCTTCTTGGTCAACGAGCTCCTATCACTTTTAAATTTTGACTCATTGGTCTTCCAAGACTCCTGGGGAGTGCTTAAGCCACGACTAAGGTTTGGGTCTAGACCTGAGACAGGACTCAAGTGAGTCTCCTTATGTCGAGAGGGACTGTGAGCACGTCTCGAGCTTTTCCGAGGTTCCTGGGGGCCTTCGTTCTCTTGCTGCAATTGTTCGTGACTCAAAAGTGATCGTCGCGCCGCATATCGATCCAGGGCCAAATCAACCTCACTCGTCCCAAATGTCCGCTCCAGTGATTGTTCCGACCACTCGCCGTTTTTGCTCTCTGCAATTGAAGGTAAATCTGAATTCTCACCCCCATGCTTAGATGGGTCATTTTTGGTGATTGAAGATCGGAGAGGAGGGGGATGTGGATCAACGTATCTGCTAGCAGAATTGCTCGTGCCGCCGGTCATCCTTTCAATCTTGTTGAAAGAAGGATCCGGGACAACTGTAGAGACTGGGGAAGGGGAGTTGACCATTCGGTGGGGGGATAGAAGTGTTGGTGGTGCAGGATTTCGCGGCTTCGGGAACAAGACGGAAAGATCAATTTTTGAAGATCGCGTCTTTCGCTTGGATTCCTTCGGTGGATCTTGATCCTGCACGTATGTCACCTCTGGCTCAACGCTGAGTCCGTGTAGTGCTTTGGGCTGGAGCCCTTGGTTCTTGGGTGTTTTGGACGATTCTTTCGAGCTGAAATAGGAGAACAGGGTGGACGAGGAACCAGTATGGTGAACCTTTTTCGACGACTTGGGAGACAACTTGGGAAGCGGCGGCGCGGCGTCCTGCGATTGGTAGTCTTGACTGAGCAGAGGTGATGAGGCCCGTACGCGAAGGTTTTGATCGGGCATCAGATGATTTTCTGAAGAGCGCGGGAACGGAACGAAGCCGGTGGTCTGCCTAGGAACACTATCGGTTGGCTTCACAAAGCTCGGTCGGGGTACATTTGGAGACTCCTGCCACCCGCCATGTTCTGTAGGAAGTGATATGTCGGTTCCGAAGAATCTTTGAGCTTTCGAGGCTCGCCGGTCTGCCATTCGGGTCTGTTCCTGGGTGCTCAATGGGTCATGTTGTGCCGGTTTACGACTCGATAGCGGAACATGGACCGGTGGGAGTTCTCGCTGTCCCATGGTGGGAGATGCAGTAGCAAGTTCAATTGCTCATGAAATCGTACGATGCAATGGGCTCGCGGGCTCGCAGTCTGTCCAGCTTGTGGTCTCTCAGGCTCTGAGTGCACAAAATTTGTGGCAGCTGAGCGGGTCCCAGGTGGTTCAAGTATTGTCTCGGTTCCGACTCAAGTCTACTCCACCAAATTAGTGATTTAAGTCTGCAATTTAGGGGAAATTGGGCTAGGCGTCAACGAACCTGCAAGTAGAAATCGATGTTGGCTGTTTATGTATTGACTCGGAAGATTTTGAGGAGTGGTTTAGAGTTGTCAAATCAACAGATCCGAGCAAAAAAGCGTGACAGGTTGGGGTCAGGACGTTTTTTTAGGACGATGATGTGTCTGGTGTACATGCAGATAATCCCTGTTCTTACGGGGCTAAAAGGGGGGAGGACTCCACAGATGCCTTGAATAAAACCCTCATAGGCCGAAAAGCAGTGTTTCATTTGGTCCAATTTTAATTGGAAGTGGAGCACGGCATCTTCAAAGCTGGTTGACAACATTAAACATAGTACGGAGGACTTAGTCCGGAGTGCTCAGTCCTCCGTACTCCTGAGGTCGATATAGGATGTGATATCCAAGTTTGCTTGTGATAGCTATGAATTTGGTCTTCAGGGGTCACCATGTAGATGTTATGTGCCTATTAGGGCTACATATCATGCTATATAACATGCATTTGCATCACACTATTAAACATTCGGTACATTTGGATTTCACTTTTTACCCTAAAAGTTTGACCCCCTACTGGGGCATCTGCAACCTAAAAAAATAGTCAACTTTCCGAACCTGAAGAACGTGGTGGCTTTCTCCGTACTCCATATTCTCTGTGGATTGACACTATTGACGCCTACGAAATACTATCCTCGCCGTCGCCAAAATGGAATAAATTACCGTATAATCCACTCGTTTTAGATGTCCAATCCCCTTCTATCTACTCGGATGGATGCTTTTTCTCTAATCACAGGCGCTAGAATGTGGAGTCCAACCAAGTCTAGAGCCACAAACGGTATGGAGAATCCACTATGTTGCACGATAGTTGAGCGATGCAATTGCACCAATTGATCTGCTACGGTCGCATATCTGAGAGACCAGATCGATACATCGTTCTCTGGCTCAATGCGCCCGAGCAAGGTTCTATGAAATGTTGTTATGCAGAAGGCCCCAATATGAGAGATGAGGTCTGCCCCACCCAGTGTGCTCCGTGACAAATTTCAGCCCGGGTACCTCCGTGATCGCCCCCTTAGGAACCAACCCTCGCGTTTCCCGGGTCGTCGCCGTCACACGTGTACGTACAAACCCTCCCCTGGGAACTGGCGATGATTGACTTACATATGGGCTCGCTCCTCTTTAATCCCCGACCTTTTGCATGTGCTGTTGCTCAGGAAGAAGCCGAGACGTAAGTCCGATTTGCGACTGACAGCCTGACAATCTATGGCTGTAACAAGGTGCGAAGACGCTGTGAGATCTAAATCGTGAAAGTCGCCAACCAAGAAATGAGAACCGGTAATTTCTCTGAATAAATAGGGGCACAGACACCACTTTAAACAAACTTTATATCCTTGCAGCCCAGCCCATGTGCCGCGTCTTAGACCCACGAGGTGGAACAAGCAGTGATGACATTCCGGGGGCGCAATTTCAATCAGATCCAGATCCCTGTTCCTTGTGCATCTGAGATCGATTGGCCGAACGCTGATCCATCTCTTCATAAGTTATTAGCGGTAATCGGTCTACCGCTCCAAGGACTTGCGGGCTTAGACCAACTTTGTGGAGTGCCATGTCAATTCAAAGAGATGGGCAGTAAAGACAACCTTTGAATAACAGCGAGAAACGCGACTCGAGGATATTATACTTTGCACTCCATATTTTACCCCAAGAACAGTCAAACGAAATACAATGTTGAATCCAGGCTAGTGGTTTAGCAAGTCGCTAGACCAAATGGTTGTGCGGATAACCCCTGGTGGTTGCTAGTAGTCGACTCCAATAGCGTAGTCCGGTTCCAGGGCTTTAGATACACTCTGATGGCGATCTTTTGTCTTTCGTGTAGGTCATGAAGCGAAAATCAGGGAAGTCCTCCATATCTGACATCCCACTTTCCAAAATTTGAGGCTTTACAATTTTCCTCATTTTTCGTCAGACATTCACAAAAATGTACTAGAAACCCTGATCTGAGGATCCAAGTAAGCAGGATGTTGGGTCAAAAATAGCAAGAAGATCAAATGTGGAGATTCCCGTTCAGGAAGAACTATAGAAGAGCTTCCATCGCAAACCTACTTTTTTTTACACGGTCAACCTAGCTATACATCTACCCTACATTCTGCAGTTACTCTACTATGGTGTGCATGAAAAGTTTCAGTCCCATGCACTGTGCTGCGTTTGTTCTACTTCGTAAACTACTGCGATCATTCCTCTATTCAAGCTTCATCTTCTTGGCCTCCCAAGTAGAAAGGTTTCATCAAATTCCGCTTCGTCAACCGAGTCCAGAAACCGCTTCGACACATTGTTTGAGGTCTGCCCATCAAAGAGATACCAATTGGCCGAAGGGTTAGGGCGAACCCGCTCCCAAAGCTTAGGTTGCCAGCTAGGGTTGATGGTAAAAATGCCACTCAAAGAACTCATTCATGTCACCGGTCAAGATAGGAATACCAGACCAAGACAAATGTGACCGAATCGTTGGCGGAGGGATAGGACGTGGTATTTCGTACTTCTCAGTAATCAGATTATGTATACCCATAGACCATGTCGCAGATGTATGGAATCTCTTACACATTCCCGGATAAGCAACACGGGGTCCAAAAAATTCGCTGTAAATGGTGTTGCAAGATGAGATTGTCTTGTGGGGCCAAATCCAGATCTATTTCATGGTAGTCTTTCACCTTGCTCCAATCTGCTAATCTCAGAATATCACGTTTCCGAATACTGTGGACTGTTACACGACCTCATCGCTACAATTTGAATGTTATTAGATGGATGCTTTGAGGGATAGCAATTGATCTGCCCATTCGGACACGTTTAAACAGGTCTTTCATCGGATTAAGATCGAACTCACATCCGGTCAAGCAGCTGTAGTAGCAGCGTATGTCTGGAACTAGTCCATCCTTTGCAGAGTAGTAGCCATAGCACAGGGTGTGCTTTCAGTCCTTTCAATTAGCACACTTCATCATTCAATGTTGCACTCACACGAACAGTGACTCCAATCCGTATGCCCATACTCAGTCATGCTGTCACTTGGCCAAGGCAGATTCTCCTTACTGTCTTTGTTCTCCTTGTCTAGTTTCTTGGGGTACCATGGCGACTCTCAACAGTGTATACCATCTTTGCTGTGGTGAGTTTCGAGCCCGCGTCTTGCAAATAACCGATGAACTTCGCCGGGAAAAATTCCATTCGAGACTCTTGACGAGCCTTAGAAAAGCGAATCCTATCGCGGCTAGCGGGAATTATTGTGTAAAATTCCCCCTGTGACCAATTCAAAGGCATTCTAGACTTTATTCGGCGTTCAAGGGTATCCACATTTGTGACAAACTTGGTTTCTGGGGAGTCTTCCAAACCAAATTCGACAGACTTAGCCGCTGGCTGGGCTACTTTGTCCTTTTGAGACTGCTGAGATTCCATGTCTTCTTGCCTGAAGAGGTTTCTTTCGTCCACTTTCTTTTTGGTCAACTGAAAGTCAGCACCTATTCAATGGTTTGGATGGAAGCATTAATGAAGGGAAGACTGACGTTTCACCGTGACTCTCCGCTAGCCTTCCTTAAGGTTATCATCTTGGCCGAATATTTGGTTAAAATGTAAACACGGTGGACCAGAGACAATTTTTAACCATCGGTGTCACCAGCAGTGCTTTCACCTTTGGAGACATCTATGTCCCCCAATGCGTCCAGTGGTAATTGATCAGGTGGGGGAATGCTGACCTCGTCAGACGGAAGCACTGCACCGTCGTTCGTCTTCTCCGCCGAAGGGAAGTAAGACTCGCCACCGGGTAAGGTAGAAACGAGAGAATTCATACTCGGTCAGACTCTTCTCTGTGTTAGTCCTGAGCCTCGATTAAATAAAAGCAGTCTAAAAAAAGGAATGAACTAAAGCTTATAAATATACGCGTGATAGCCGCTGTCAAAACGCTTCTGTAAACGCGCCTCGTTCTTTCCTAATACGAAGTCCGCAGATATTCAGTGTCGTCTTGAGAATCAGCAAGCCCATTTACATCGTAGTATCCGGAATCTTTCATTTGGAGAATCCTATTATTCCCAAGCTGCGCCTGTGTGTTCAACCAGTAGGTAGTAACACCAGGAATGAACAATATTGGAGTGCACAAAGTAGGTAATGCTGGGCTTTCAGCACATGTCGTCGTCAACCATCAGACAAGGGCCATGCTCTCTCCGTCTTCAAGGTGGGAATAGTTATAGCACTCGTAGAAGCGGTTTGCTCTCAGAATCCGCTCGCTGGAGGCATCTCTGAGCAAAAATCCACTCAACTCTATGAGTCAATAAGACATAAACTCCAAGGTTATCCAGGTCATAACTAACTGCATAAGTAGGACCAATTCGACAGTTTAGGTGTATATTTGATCGCAGCCAGAGAAGAAGGGGCCTCGCGAGGAACTGACTAGCAATGATATGTACTCTCAGTTTCACTAGCTCCAAGCTTTGCTTGTGTTGTGCCATCAGAGTTTGTTGGCTTCATCTCAGGTGCTATTGATTCAAAGTGACTACTTACAAATACGGAAAACCGGCGGATTTCATCCACGGAGTACCCCAAACTCAGAGAGAGCCTCTCAAGCTACGAATCTCTTATGGTGAGGTAGAATTAGACCATTACGAGCATGACAGCTGAAAGCGAGTAAGTGAACATCATAATGGGAGAAGACGAGGATATCATATTTTTATGGGGAATGTGGACGAAGAGGTACAAAGAAAATTTTAGATCTACGAACTCTCATCAATCGCTTACTCAAATTTTTCTTCTTGTAGACTACATTCGCCATACCATTTCCGGTTTATGTGGCCTGCGTGAGCATGGCAGGCACGGATGCAACGGACACCCCGGTATAGCCATATGTAGACATGGCTGTATAGAGCCCATGGGTCCATTGCATTGGTGTTTTGGTTGTCTATCGATCGTTGATATATTAGTTTTTTTCTCATGGGCAATTTATCAACAGGCACTCAGCTGTGAAACACATGTCGGGACAATCTTGTCTTCTGCCGGGTTTCCAGCGAACCAGGAGTGATTCGACGTCAGTCTATACTATCCAACCCCATCATATGTCAAGTCAAATCTCATACTGCAAAATGCGATTTAACAAAAAAGATCATGGAAGGCAGGGTTGAAGAGTTGTAGTACGTAAAAGCAACCAAACCCTAAATCGATGTGGGGGGGGAGGCCAAGACAATGCAGATATCGACCGGTGGATATTCCACCTGGGTAGGACATGACTTACATAGAGTAAGTATATAGTAAGGGGTAACAGACTACACGCTGATTATTTCGTACCCCTGTGCCCTGTGTCGGCCTAAGGAGCCCCTGATATATGTAATTTCTTCAACACAACAATGAGACACAACCTCGTGCCAAGAAGCCACCCGACGCCCCCACCTCACGTGATATGTGGCGATGGCAAATCAAAAACTTGATGGACGTTGATTTGGGATGAATAGATTGTGAATGTTTTTTTAAAGGGGCAAAGAATAAGGAAATCTATTACGTCCCTGGTTGTAGATGGCAACGTTCTCTTCACAGCTAATGCTTTGGATCGCCTTCATCTGCATCTACAAAAGATATTTCAAAGGGTGGAGCTAAAAACACCAGCTAAAAAAGACACTACGAAGATGCAGAAGCGGCCGACGATTCTTGTTGTAAATGCTTTAGATAAAAGGTCAACCTGCTTATCTGACTGTCATATCCTCGGTCCCACCTCCGTGAGGTCTAGAGCAGAGCCAAGGGGGTTTTCTTCAATCACACTCGGATCATTTTGAAGTTGGCATAGACAACAATCAAGGTAGAGTATCTAGATATTTTTTAAAAAACCAATCCCGAAAAAAGAAGCAAAGAATCACAAAAATGCCCTCTAAAAAAAAAAAAATATGAGGTAGCACGTTGGGCCATGACATCGTCCACCTATGGGAACCGGAATAAATGTTGTTCTCCGCCCCAACTCCTTGTCAGCCGCCACTGTTTCTTTCTCCCCTTCCCTTTGCTTCCTTGCTTCCATTATTTGTGTTTTGTTCCCCTCCCCCTAACAACATTGAATTCTTGATTATCCTTCTTTTTTGACACTATGTGCTGAATGCCCTTTGCATCCATGGTTTCGCTGGTGTACCGCGCTGAGGGGGTGTTTTGCTAAAAAAAAAAACAAGATCATCTTGGACATCTACAGTTCCTTGGTCTTATTACACATGAGCTTGCTTTACAATGACTTCATACGCTCCCAGCTCCCTTCAAATATCTGAAGTTGACTCGGCTTTGACCGACCACAACGCGTCCGTGCCTGCACCCTCTTATGCGACCCACAGCCCCGGATCTCGATTCATTCATCCTCGAAAACGCGAAATGGACGAAAGAGAGGAGCTGATCCAAGGGCCATCAAACGCGGCTATCGGACAATTTACCTTTGCCCCTGCTACCCGAACTACAGTGGTCACGACCACTACAACCACGACGACCTCCTTCCCGCCTTTGACAATCAACCCCCCGCGAGCCGTCAAGGATCTGGATGCCCGACAATACCCTCTCGCCTCATCTCCGACTCCAGCGGCCCTAAGAAGCCTCAAGTTCAAGATTGGCAACAAGTCGATCATCTTCAACGAGCCCGAGGATACCACAAACGCTGCCGCTGAGGTACGATTTCATCCTACCGTTTCATTGTTTCCAAATGCTCACAGTATAATCATAAATAGTACAAGGAGAAAACCGAGGCGTTGATATCCTCAAATGGCCAGATTCGCTCCGTGAATTCTTTCATTTCCGAGGGCGAGAACCCCACTCGGCGTCTGACCCCTCCGAGATTAGCGAGCCAACCTTCTAGCTACCCTTTCAACTCTCGCCGTCGCGCTGTCTCCCCCGTCGCGCTATTTGATCGACCCTCTATCCTTCCACGAACTCGCCCGTCACGGGTTCCTTCGGAACCCATTACACGTAGAACTCGCCAAAGTGGCGTGGGATCAACTCATCTTGCCGCTGGCCTTGCCACGCCGGACACCGAAAACAGCCAGGGGGGACTTGGTGAAAATACGGCTCCAAGACCGAGAATCCATAGCTCTGTGTTTCCGCGCAGGGATCCTCCTTTGCCGTCACCTCTCTCCTCTGAAATTGGAGCTAAACGCTTACACACTTCCAACCAAAATTCCTATTTGCAGAATGCATTGTCAGGGATTGGATCAAATTCCGAAACTCAAGAGTCTCAGGCTACGGAAGCGGATGAGAGTTGCTCAACTGCACACGAATCGGCTTCTTTCAGTCACGACACAACATATGGAACCCAGGAATCTGCATCGCAAGAAAGACCCGAGCTTATATCTCAATCTCAACTGTCGGCCATAGACAATGCCATGGCGCAAGATATGTGTCTCCCAAGCCCCAGTCTCTCGCCGGTCGCTGCTATGAATGCCCTCCATGGCGAATCAGCCTTCGAGTCAGAAGGGCTTGACGTTGATACAGACTCCAGCCTAGATCACAATGTCTCACATTTTTCTAAAGCTTTGCGGCTCCAGGATGCAGATGAGACCCGGGAGAATGGCCATTCTCTTACAAACTCACATTCACCTACCTCCTTATTAGATATTCCCAAGGTGTTGGAGTTCTTTGATTCGGTGCCTGATGAGGTCAAAACGTATCTCATGTATCAATTCCTTCGGAGATGTCCTAAACCTACCCTCCATTTCGTGGCCGATGTGGTTAATCCGACTTTGAAGTGCGACTTTCTGGCTCTTCTGCCACTTGAGCTCAGTCTCAACATCGTCAAATACCTTGACGTTCAGACTATGTGCCGTGCCGCGCAGGTGTCGAAGAGGTGGAGGCACATCACGAATTCTGATGAAAAGAGCTGGAAGAACCTCCTTGCCCGGGATGGATATCATCTCTCAGATGGAGAACTGGAACGGGCTATACGACAGGGATGGGGATGGCAGTTGTCCAGCGGTCCTGAAGATCACGAGGAAGATCTCAGCCTTGTGGCCCTATCCAGGGGGGATTTGGAGGCGTCTCCTGTCCCTTCGATGGCGGGTCCCAGCAGCAGAAGCCCTCTAGGGTCTCTGTCAATCAACCGACGAGGTAAACGGAAGGCAAACACGCGTGCTTCAAGCCGCAAGCTTGCCAAGCGGAAGGTCTCATCCAGTGGAGGAGATATCGCCGATCCAGACTGGAGGAAAGATATTGCTGCATCTGAGGCCCCATACGCCGCTGCCAACGCTGCAGCTGCAGCCGTGCCCTATGCTGAAGTGGGTCTACCCTCGCTCCGTGGGCTCTTCCTCTTCAAAGTCCTCTACCGTCGCCATGTTGCCATTCACAAGGGATGGATGCAACCGGATGTCAAGCCACAACATATCGCTTTCCGCGCTCATGACCGCCATGTCGTTACTTGCCTGCAATTTGATGCTGAAAAGGTTCTTACGGGAAGCGATGACACGAACATCAACGTGTACGACACTAAAACAGGTGCGCTGCAGGCAACGTTGGAGGGCCACGAGGGTGGAGTGTGGGCTCTTGAATATCATGGCAACACGCTAGTCTCCGGTTCCACCGACCGCTCAGTACGAGTCTGGGACATCGAGCGAGCCAGGTGCACTCAGATCTTCCACGGCCACACCTCCACCGTTCGATGCTTGCAAATCGTCCTGCCTGCCGAGGTCGGTAAAGATGCAGATGGCCAGCCTGAGATCATGCCCAAAGAACCATTGATCATTACTGGGTCTCGTGACTCAAACCTTCGGGTGTGGAAGCTTCCCAAATCCGGTGACCCAGTCTACTATCAGAGTGGTCCTACAGTGGATGACGCTAGCTGTCCATACTTCATGCGTGTGCTCTCCGGCCATCAGCACTCTGTTCGTGCAATTGCAGCCCACGGTGATACGCTTGTGAGTGGTAGTTACGATTGTACGGTGAAGGTCTGGAAGATTTCCACCGGACAGACTTTGCATACTCTGCAGGGTCACTCAATGAAAGTATATAGTGTGGTTCTTGACCATAAGCGCAATCGTTGCATCAGTGGAGCCATGGACCACTTGGTCAAGGTGTGGTCACTAGACGATGGCGCCGTCCTATACAACCTCGAAGGTCATACCTCGCTCGTTGGTCTGCTCGCCTTGGAGCACGATTTCCTTGTCTCGGCTGCCGCTGATTCCACCCTCCGAATATGGGACTCTGTGCACGGCCACTGCAAGAACACCTTGAGTGCACACACCGGAGCCATCACCTGCTTCCAGCATGATGGACAGAAGGTTATCTCCGGGTCCGATCGGACACTGAAGATGTGGGATGTACGAAACGGCGAGTGTGTTCGAGACCTCCTCACAGACCTCAGTGGCGTGTGGCAGGTCAAGTTTAATGACCGGAGATGTGTTGCTGCGGTCCAACGTGATAACTTGACCTACATCGAAGTATGTATTCTCTAATGAGGCTTTCTGATCCTTTAGGCTAATATTGCTTCCACCCAGGTTCTCGACTTTGGTGCTGCACGGGATGGAGTCCCGGAAAGCAAGCTTGCGAAACGCATTGTCGTCAACCGACGTGGGCAGGAGGTCCTCGGCGGAATCGAAGATGACGACGACTTGTCTGACTGAGATGTCTAGGCCGCGTTTCTCTTCAACCAAAATCAAAATCCCAAAATCCGACTACCTTCCTCCTTATACTCCTTACTCCCTTTCCTGTACCTTTTCTTCTCTTCTCACTCTATTCCCCCGTTCACGATACCCATCCTTACAGCTCTCGTCTTCCATCGGAACAAATATCCTTTGCATAGCGTGGTCGGCATTCTTTGGTCTTGCAACATTACGAAAAGGGGCCAGGCGTTGTTTTTCCCATTTTTTTCTCATCATCTTTTATGTGGAGGATTCTATCATTATGAAATCCCAAAATATTTGCCTATCACCATGCATCCTGTCACCGATCCGTTTTCTTTGTCTTCGCCTGTTGCGTATGTGACTTCCCATTCTGTTGTCAAGTCGGTGATTCTCCTACATATTTTTCGTTCTGCTTTGTCCGTATCGGACTGCCCATAATAGATTGATTACCTATCATTTGTTCTTGTAAATTCTGTCATGAGTTGGGTTGGTCTAAGGTTTCATTGTAGCATAGTACATGTGTATTCTGCTTACAGCAGCTGGCTCTAAATAGCGAAGCATTAAATGCTCCGACAAGAACCATAGTGGTGCTTGGTGGTCTGGACACGCTCTCATAGACCATTGTTGGCTAGTTCTGATGGGGGCATGATGTACCAGTAGGCACCGATCTGAGGATTGGCTGTCATGCTCAGAATAAGCCAGACAATCAGTCCTCGCCCCAGAAAGGGAACAAAAGATGTACAGTTTTATCTCAGACCCATAGATATATGCGCTCGAGGGGGAGCTGATCCGACCTGACTAGCCGCACCAAGTAGTCAAGTCTAAAAACCCGACGAGCATAGTTTCGAACTTGGACAGCACAGCAAGTTCTTTCATGACAAAGTGGCCTCTGCAGCAGGCGACACAGCAAGCTGACCACCCTGCAAGCTCCCATCGATCCCAGCAGCAGATAAAATCGACCAACGAACAGCATCGATTCCCAGCGCCCGGCCAGGTCCAATCTTTGCCTCGGCACTACAAGTCAAAATTTCACCCAAAGACCCAGGTCCCTCTGAAGCCCGCGGATCTGGCTGTACAATCGGTTTGATGCCCTGGAGCAAGAGCTGTAACCGCTCGATATTGGCGGGTGTGACCCCGGTCTTTATCTGCTTCAATTGCCTAACGAGGAACTTGTCGACTTTGGATAGAATGATCTGGTGTGGGATTGCATGGTGTCGGAACAGTCTAAGAATCTCGGCGTCTGTTTGCTTGATCCCGTGCGTACTGTCGATAAGGAGGAACGCGCGACGGAGTCTATAGTATCTTTGTCAGTCATAATGCATGCTGGATGAGTAGATTTTTTCTTATGAGTTCCATGCTCAAAAAAAAAGACAGGCGTCAAAACTCACTGTTTCCGTCCCTGGAGATACTTCATAATCTCCGCTCCCCACTCGGACCGACTCGCCTTTCCGTATCCTGGCATGTCAAGCAGCACAACCTTCGACTCGCCGCCCTTTGTACCACCAATCCCGAACGCGTTCATTTCCCTCGTCCGGCCCGGTTTTGATGATGTCCAGCAAATCTCCTGTCCCATTATTGCGTTCAGCAGTGAGCTCTTGCCGACATTTGACCGGCCTAAGAATGCGACTTCCGGCTCGACTGATGCAAATGGTGTCGTGCGGAATTTGGCTGCAGACCAGAGTTTGAGCGGTGAGTGACGCGATGGCGTGAAGACCTTGTCGGCGAAGGCTAGCTGATCCTCTTTGGGCGCTCTAGTATCCCAGTAGTAGCAGAGGTCGGACGGGGTGAGGTCTTTGAGTTCGCGCTTAGAATTGGGATTTGAGGATGAGGATAGGGCCCGTATTGTTGTATATAATGATATCCTGGATGCAGAGTGTCTGCAGACTGGTATTGAGTTCCAGACTGGTATTGAGTTCATCATGACTCTCGAGTACTTGAAAGGAATGTCGACAAAATGCCCCCCAAAAAAAGGTAGAGCTGGTTATTGATTTCTCCAGATCGGCGCACGGGGCAAGTTGCCCGAGCCATCATCAGCTATCGCATCCAGATAAGACTCACACTCTCCCCAACTTCCCAAGGTTGTTCCATACCTCACCAGTCAAGATGATCAACGCAGTCCTCGTCTTCAATAATAATGGCCAGCCCCGGCTAACCAAGTTTTACACACAGCTGGTGAGTCTAAAACCCGCCGCACTCGCGCACCCGCACAGGACAATCTCAAACTAACTCCGGAAACAGGACACGCAAACACAACAATCCTTGATCGCGCAAATATATCGTCTAGTCGCGCAGCGTCCAGCAAGCGCCTGCAACTTCCTCCCACTCCCACCTCTCCTCTCGCAAGGTGCCAGCTCCTCCGCCTCCGGGCCCTCCGACACCCCCACGCAAATCACATACCGGACTTACGCAACGCTGTCCTTCATCATGATCTCTACGTCCACCGAGTCCCCACTTGCTCTGATCGATCTTATTCAGGTGTTTGTCGAGGCGCTGGATCGCATGTTCGAGAATGTCTGCGAATTGGATCTTATTTTCGGCTATGAGACGATGCATGCTGTGCTTGGGGAGATGATCGTTGGCGGTGTTGTGGTTGAGACACATATTGAGAAAATCATTGCTGGTGTGCGTTCCCAGGAAGGATCGCTGGGGAAGAAGAAGGCTGTTCAGGCTGCTAGTACTACTTTGGGTCGTGGGGCTTTGCCTGGGTTAGGGGCTTGGAGGTGATCTATTGAGGATCGATGCTTTCTCTTTTGATGACCTGCAAATCGATGGATCTGTGGAACACTGCGTCCCATTCGGTCTATTTGAGGCGTTTTGGTTACGTATTCTAGATTTGCTTTGGCAGGAATTAGGAGTGGTTTTATAGACTTTTCGGGCATTGATGCCTTTTAATGATATTTTTGAGTGGTGTTATTCTAAATGAAGTTTTGTAAAGTCACTTACTTGTATTTTCGTCGGTGTATGTAAACCAGGATTTCTGAGACTCATCTATTCTCGTCCTTCTAAAACTAACCCATAGGCGTTTTAATACCGGGCTGGGTCTTCGAGTGCATGTGTCGGAAGTGGCCCTGTTGACCGAAGTCCCTCTGTCCTTTCCTGTCAAAAGTTGCTAGTCAGATATGCGTTTTCGACAGCTTACACTGTTAAGCAGCTCTACCCGACTTCCATTGCTACTGTGTCTGACATTGACATAAAGGGGCAGGGTTGTGAGAGTCCTTGCCCGAATTGTAAACCCGTAGATGGTTTTTTGCCTGGCCTTTTTCCATTCATTGTGGGAATGAAGATCGAACGGTAAATACATGCACGTTCCCTTTTGAAATGCTCAAGTGGTTTGCACATCATAGTACAGGACACCTCAACTAGATCATGCACTCTTACCTAGACCAAGGCTTTGCTGGATGTAGAGATGGGTGATGTAGTTGAAAATTCCCAGGCATCGTCTTGAGCTTTGGACCTGAAGTATTGGAAACTCCAGATGCCCCTCACACTATCCTTGTACATGCCCCAAAAAGGATGACAAAAAGCAATTATAGCTATGTCTGTGGGGGAGTTATTCCAAAAGAGACTCCCAAAAAAAAATTCCCGAAATCGTGAAAATCTCCGAACCTAATAATTGGTACGATATTTATATATGTACATTCATCTTGGGGGAGAGTCTGAAAGCCCATCATCTTGGCAAGCGAAGAAACGATCCTAATAGCCTAGTATACCTGGAGGATTGATTCGTCATGCGAATTGAGGTTCTTCTCGCCATGCCCAGAAATTCAGTCAATGATACATGAATGATTAGAATGCGATCAATCGACTCACTGCGAGCGATTCATAATTGTAGTACCGTCATAGTAGTTTTAAAAAAGACCACCGAGCCATTTAAAGACTGTTGCGATGCTTGGTTGGTAGATGACTTTTGGCTAAAACCAAAAGTCTTGTAGGGAAGAGAGGATCGCAGGATCGGTATATCCAAATAGCAGGCGAAGAAAGCATTCCAGATGAGACATTAACTCCCAGAGCTTGAGAAAAACCCCAAGTTGGATCACTCCATTGACCCCAAGATTATCTTGCTTGCGCATTTGCACGGGTGGGTGTTTGTAAGACATGCTGAATTCCAGACTGGCTCAATTGTCATGTGCAAGATCGAAGGCATGGAACTACTATAACTGGCGAAAATTTCAGCGTCGTGCTTTCCGGTTCCTTCCCAAGAGAATTGGAGTTATGGCCAAAAATATAGAGTCTTGGGGGAACAGAACTGCTGAATTTGAGCGTAGAAGTGTGAACCCCATCGCCTAGGAGATGGTGGTGATACTCTCTCTTGTCGGGTCACCGATAGTGAGCCATCGGAACGGTCAAGGGGGTTAAGACGCCAGTATTTCATGTGAACTTTGCGCTGCGTTAAGAATAAGTCTCCATGTAGCTTCTCTGCTTTTGTTTCTCACGCATTGCACGTGGAAGAAGAAATGGCATTGGTAGGCTGGTGGTATTGCCTGACTCAGTTGCTGGGCTACTAGGACATAACATCCAATCGAGGGCTAAACTAGTCTGCACCAGCTCTATTGCTGATTTGATCACATCTGGGAGTGCTCCCCTTAGGGTACACGTTTAAGGTTTTGTAAATAACCCTACAGTATCGGGTTCCAAACCTCTCTGACGCGGGATCCAACAGCCAAACATAGATCGAAAGAGAGTGTTACCAGGTGTGGGGTCCATGGATAACCCTGGAAATCCAGAGGTGACCAATCCAGGGTTGGAGTAGATATCATGGGGCCGATGTTTCAGTGCCCCTGATGATTAGTGTGCTGTCAGTCGAACAGCAGACCAACTTTTCACTTCATTTCAATTGAAGCAACTTTTTCGAAGGAATTCAAGAGAGCATTAGAATCAGGTAAATTTAGAAATTTCTGCTGTTTCAAAGAGAATACAATAGTAGTGGACAATAGTAGTGGTTGGAGCATTGAGGAAGGTACGCTCCATCGATGCTGCCAGAATCTCGTGTAATTCCGTAGGCAAATCAGGCCGCTGCTCCTGAGGGAGTACATAAAGCCATTAGCCCACTAAATAGGTCAAAAGATCACAAGGACAAACAGAACGTCTGTTTGTCATTGCAGCGGCATATATGTGAAGCCCTAACATCCTTTAGGGACCACACTCGCGATGTGCAGCTGTCATGTGACCCTACATCACGTGAGACCTAAATTCTGCCCTAGTGGACTGCCCTAGCCCTGATCACATGAGCACACTAGCGTGACCCACAGAAACTTCATAAGGTGCATTCACACGAACATTTCCCTTTCTCATCCGTCAACCGTCAACCAGCGCAATCCCAGTCGACAAAATGGTGGTGAGTACATAAATTGTCTCTTGATAACATCAGAGGCTTCTTCTAGTTCTCGCGATGTCTCACGACATTTCGCTTTGCTTCAGATCTCTGATCTAAGCAATTCCGCCGATCGCGCTCAGCTTCGAAAGAGATGTGTCGCGCATCGTGTGATGATTTTGGCTGGAAGCATGGAGTCAATGCCCGTAACACGGCTTGGTTCATGTTCTCCTTAGAGTTCAAAGAAGATGCAGCACTATGTGAACAGCACGCTGATCTTCTTCCTCAATGATAGCCTCCTAAGTCCGGAAAGAAGACCGCCGCTCTGCCCTACCCCCAGGGCAAGGCTGGCGCTGGCAAGAAGGCTGCCAAGGTACGTTATTCCTTCTTCCCTTAAAGGGGTGCAAGAAATTCTAAAGATGGCTAACCTTTATTCCACAGAACCCCCTTTTCGAGAAGCGCTCTCGCAACTTCGGTATCGGCCAGGACATCCAGCCCCGTCGCAACCTCTCCCGCTTTGTCAAGTGGCCCGAGTATGTCCGTCTTCAGCGCCAGAAGAAGATCCTGAACATGCGCCTGAAGGTCCCCCCTTCCATCGCTCAGTTCCAGGCCACTCTCGACCGCAACACCGCTGCCCAGACCTTCAAGCTCCTCTCTAAGTACCGTCCTGAGACCAAGGCCGAGAAGAAGGAGCGTCTCGTCCAGGAGGCCACCGCCGTCGCCGAGGGCAAGAAGAAGGAGGATGTCTCCAAGAAGCCCTACAACGTCAAGTACGGTCTCAACCACGTCGTTGGCCTCGTTGAGAACAAGAAGGCTTCCCTCGTCCTCATCGCTCACGATGTTGACCCCATTGAGCTGGTTGTCTTCCTCCCCGCTCTCTGCCGCAAGATGGGTGTCCCCTACGCCATTGTCAAGGGCAAGGCCCGTCTCGGCACAGTCGTCCACAAGAAGACCTCCGCCGTTCTCGCCCTGACCGAGACCCGCGCTGAGGACAAGGCCGAGTTCGCCAAGCTCCTCTCCGCCATCAAGGAGGGTTACACCGACAAGAACGAGGATTCCCGCCGTCACTGGGGTGGTGGTATCATGGGCGCCAAGGCCAACGCCCGCATCGAGAAGAAGCAGAAGGCTCTTGCTTCCGCCATCAAGGTTTAAGCTTGTGTAACTACAGCTTTTCCTTTGATGTCTGTTTGACGGGATCGTTTTCTAATCGAAGCGCTCGGATCTCAAAAATAATGAGTTGTTATGGGAAACAACGAGGTGTTCCAAGGCTTTGACGATCTATTGACGGCCTCTTTTAGCTTTAGATGGGTGCGAAAGAGCCCTTTGGCCCTTTTTGGATCTTGTTCTAACAAAAAAAGACAAATTTTTCTCTCACGAACTCCAATGGTCCCATGTACCACTTTTCTGCAGATACCCATGAATGCATTTCTCTACCTGTTCAATCTATTGATGGTTTTCGTAGTCCCATCAGAACTAGGCATTCATGTCGTCTGCTTTGTATCCGTTGAGCATTTTAGTTGATTGTGGTCCATAAAAGTCCATGCACAAATGGCAGACATATCTTGACAAACAACTAATCTGCGTCATTTCACTCGATCGTGATTTTCACCTCTTCGCCTCCCGCCTGTGTGGGATCTGCGAGACACCTGTGGCACCTGCCAAGAATACCAAGTCTTTTTAAAATAATAGTCGCGTCTTGGCACATATCTTGAAGACCTCTACGGAGTACTCTGTACGCAGTAACGTATTGCACATGGGAGTGGAGCAGTCCGAAGCACATAGCAAATGCGATGTTTTATTCACTTGAATTGATTTCAAGAGAGTGCAAGGCTTCACCATTTCGAAAACTACCGAAAATGACATTGCCAAAAACCAGAAAGATAGATCTCAACTACAATCTTTGATCGTTCCAAAACACTTTCAAGAGAGGTCAGACAACACCTAAAAAAATAACAGCCAATAAGGAAAAGCCCCAATGGACCATTATTGTTGAGATGTCAAGTTGTACGGAGTAGTTTTATCGCATTTAATACTCCGCACGCTGATATAAAAAGGCCTTGTTTTGCAGAAAAAGACCATGTGGCTATTTACTACAGGCCGGAGGACACAAGACCGGGCAGGCTATATATATCCACGGATGATGGGTGAGTTGGAGGGGCACACCCCCCCCCCCCAAAAAACTTTAGGTACGTGCTGCACCCAATATGTACAGGAACAATAGTATTTATTTAATATCTCACACCGATGATACTATCTAAAACTGATTTCCATAGTTGTCGTACGCCTGGTAGACCTGCTCGCTGGCCTGGTACTTGGCCTTCTCCTTGTCAAAGAAGTCCAATCCTCGGGTCTCGACCTCACGGTCGACAAAGGCACCAGCAAATCCAGAGAGGATCTCCTTGGCCTTTGCGTGGCTATCAGGCTCGCCTATTACCGATAGGAAAAAGTATTAGCCTAGGCCTGTCCCTATAATTGACCCTATGCACCGAATGGTCAAGAGAGGAGGGGGTTGTATATGTACCGTTCTCAGCGACGTGGTTCTCGTAGGCCTTGGCAGCCTCGTAGCTAGCGGCACCGGCGATCAGCTCGTGGATCGCGGAAGGATCGTGCTCTTCCTGGCCGTTGTAGGTGTTGTAGGCCTGAGCCTGGTCGGAGTCGTCTAGGAAATGTGTATTAGTGGAAGATTGGCATCGAGGACGGATTAAGGGGATACTTACCACTGAACCAGCCCATTTTGAATTGAATTGAATAAGAAAAGTGGTAGAAGAGGGAGAAGGTGAAGAGTAGTGGAACGCGAGGAAGAGGGGTAGCCTAGCGGCTTTTATACTCTCCCATTAGTGCCACTTCATCATTTACGGCCACATCATTGAGGGGCAAATGCTCCCAAGGTCAGACCAGTCATTGATAGCGACGCCAAGTTTGGTCTAGTCAGAACAACTACAAAGGCGTACGGTGTACAGTCAGTGGACATGTAGAGCCCCACCCAGCTCACCGCCACTATCTATTTGTACCGCCTACCTAAAATGGGAGATTTGCACCATGCCTAGGTGTTCTTGGAGGGGTTTGACCGGCAGTATATTATATAATCATGGAGGTGTGGAGCCAGAGGTATAAAAACTTATGTCCGGTCACTGTGCATGTTTATCCTACACCGGAACGAGTATATAGTAGTAATAAACAGGTTCATTCCATCCTCGGACAAACTAAATACCAGGAACCGATAGGTATGAGCAGATTAAGAGAAGACAAGGCTGGTATGAAATTACAGTAAGATCCAGAGGTCCACGGCCGAAGCAAAGAATGAAAAAAAAGTACAAAGAAAACCCGCCCAGCCCAGAAGACCAGAGATGCTCACCGCCGACTTTTTTCCAATATGAATGATGACTCTGAGAAACCCTGTCTAAAGACACAAGTTGAAGCAAAAGCAAGCGAAGAAGGTGTATATTGTGAATAAGGAAGATAAACATGATCGCGGTCATTTGCTCATTAACGTTGAGGAGGTCGTGATAGCCCTTGGCGTACCTGTATTTTTGTTAGGCATTTCAGAGATAAGTGTTCGAACCACAATAACTCACCTTCATTTGTTCAATTCTCGCCTTCAGTTGGCTGGTGACTTCTGCGGCTCGCTTCCAGTTTTCTGCCGGTTCCGAAGATCTAGGCTGCTGATGGTCGTCTTCGGTGAAATTTGTGTTGGAGTTTCGGGTGGATGAGCGCGTCGGGCTACTGACGGCCGAGTAACCGTATGTAGGGCTCAAGTTACGTCGGCCTAGGCCGCCATTGCGACTGCTGAGCCCTGGTGATTCCATGCCGTTGTTTTCTCTCTCTTCACTGGGGGTAGCAGAGGCGTAGCTTCGAGGACGTGAGCTTTCGAAGCGGGATCCCATGTGAAGACCAGATCGTGCAGCAGCATTGCCATTGCCGGTATGGTCATGATAGGTGAAGCTTGTGTCCGACACACCCATGCTTCCTGAGTCGTAAGTAGCGTTGGGTGGGCTTATTGCAGACGCGCGAAGTGCTCGTGCGAGTTCACGCTTCAATCTTTCGATCTCTCTCTGCTGTTTTTGAACATTTCCCTCCGCAGTTTCTGCATCACTCCGTGCTCGAACAAGTTGAGTTTCTTTCGCCTTGATGCTCAAGACATCACGAGTGTGGTCCTCAATTAGCTGTGCATTCTGGTTTTGAAGTTCAGAGATTGTTGAGTTGAGCCTTGAACGCTCGGACTTCATGTCTTCCACGATTCGGTTGAAATTCTCCTTCTCCGCCCGTAATTCCTCCAACTCAGCACGTTCGGCGGCCGCCATGGCATTCGCGGCAGGTGAAGGGACAGGGGCAGGTTCAGCAGGCGCCGAAGGTCTGGCTATGGGCCGGCCCGCAAGGCCACGACCCAGACCAAACTTGGGAGCAGCTGGCGGGGGGGCTACATCCTCCTCTGGGGGTGCGGCAACTCGTTTTGTTGGAGACGCAGCGGTTCCGGGACCAGCAAGTTTCCGTTGCAGTTTGAGACCTGATCCAGGAGTTGGAAGGCCGCCGGCCTTCGGGGCGCCGAGCTTTGAAGGGATTCCTCGGGCTGCAGGCCTGGTCGGTGGTTCTTCTGGAGCGGGTGGAGCGGCCACAGGTGCTAGTTTTTTCAGCCCCGTTACGGGCTTCTTCCCAACTACCTTCTTGCCAGCCGGGGGAGCGGGCTTTGGGGGTGCCACAATAGCCTTGGGGCGCTCCTTGGCCTTGACTTCAGCGGTTCCGAAGTATTCTTTGATTTTAGTTTTACGAATCTCGTCAAGTCCATCGAGATACGGGTTCATAGCTCGTTCACCCAGGATCTTCATTAATGTACCAAGGATTTCAGCAGCTCCTTCACGGATTGCCGGGGCTGACTCGGTCAGTAGCTTTGTGCCGGCATCAGCAATCGCTTTCTGCTCAGCCTTGGCTGGCACTGTCCGGGTTGTGCGCAAGCAACGAACCAAGAACTTAACGGTTTCCTGCTTAATCTGTGGGTTCTTGTGCTTAAGATACTCAAAGATTTCCTCCAAGCATTCCGTAAGGGTTGTCGTGGTGAAGACAGCATCCAAAGCCTGACCCAAAGCATCTGCGACAGTCGTCTTCTTCTCTTTCAGACGTTCAAACATGGGCGCCATAATGACGCTTCGATATTTGGTAAATCCGTTGCGTAAGCCCTTGGCCAACACGTCCACACAGTTCGCAGCTACTGTGGCGACAGCGACGTTGGCATCCTTCATGGATTTGGCCAATCCCCTCACGATCTCATCATAGGGGCCGTCTTTGATACGGGGGACATTAAGAACGTTATAGAGAGCGTCCAACGCTTCCTTGCGGTCCTTCCATTTTGACGAGGCCAGTTGATCATGGAAGTCGGCAGGGATTTTCTTCATGACATCAACCGGTTCTGCTAGGTCGAAGGCATCGACAACCACCCCATCCTCCTCCTCATCAAATTCGTCGCCGGCTGGTTCTTCGCCCTCCTCGCCTGCTGGTGCAGCACTGGCCACGGCCATGGCATCTTGTTGTGCCCGAGTAAATCGCTCTTGCTTCGGTGTGGGATCCTGCTTCACAGCTTCGAATAGTTTCTCCAAATCTGCCTGCTGCACAGGTTTCAAATCGGCCCAAAACAGAGGCTTGATGGCCTCCCGAAGCCACCGATAGAGTTCCACGGTCAGGTTTTGTGCTTCTGCGCGGACATTTTTATCGGCATGACCAAAAACCTTGGTCAGGGCCTTCAAAGTTTGCTTTGGGTCGACGATCTTGCAGCCGAAGTTGTGATAAATAAGGGTAAAGGCTGCAAGAGAAGCGGCAACCACCTTGGGTACTTTGTGTGATAGTGTGGGTAGTAGCTCCTCGATCACCGGATCGGCCTTGTCTAATTCGACACATAATAGAAGAGCTTCCTGGGCGCTAGCTTTCCCAGCCGGTCGTGTAGATGGGAGACCTTTCTCAGCAATTGGGCCAATAGTATATGTGCGGGTCCTGTAAATGGGAATTTGTCAGTGGATTCAGGGTGGACCAAGGAGACCGTCGCGATTGGGACCGGGGGTTGACGCACCTCGTGCAGGCCTGGGCTCCTCCAAATTTCAAAAAGGCGCAGTATGATGCGAGACCTTCTGACTGTGCGGCGACGTTGGAATCTGCGACCGCTCCTTTCCACAAGCCGGGATCTTGTATGAAAGGCACGAAGACAGGGTCAGATTCATCGGGGGTCTTTTCAAATTGCGCTTTCGCATCTTCGTATCCCTCCTTTCGGACTTTCCAGTTCTGTATATCGGGGTTAGACTTTTCGGTAATTCTGTAAATCGGGTTTTTTATGCAGGAATGAGTGCACCTTGTGAGCGAACCGGTCGGCCAAAGGTAAAGAGGAGAAGTCCTCTGTGGCTTCAGCCATTCTGATGGGCGAAGGACGGAGTTAATCAACGGATCCTAGGAAGGTAAGGAGTCAGCAAGTTCTGCGGTATCTGATCAGAAGTGCGCATAGCAGCAAAGAAGGTCCTGGAGAAAGAAATTAAAAGGTCATAAGTAGGTGTTGCGGGGGGTCTCGGGGGTGTCTCGGGGTTCAGATGATCGTACTCTGCTGGGTTGAGGCCTAAAGGATTTCAAAGGCAGACTTGTCTTGAACTATGAGACACCGATCCTGACTAGAACATAGATATCTAAGTCAAAGTGTCAGATATATTGATAGGGTTGGCTGATATTATTCGAAACACACGGGGTTAGAGAAAATAAACGGCTGAAGTTGAAGGAAAGTAAACAGAAGCCTTGGCAAATTGTTTTGTTTTAACCCCCCTCCCCCCGCGGTGGACCACAACTTGCTCTTCATAATTATCTTCTTTTCTTTTCTCTCTCTCTCTCAACTCTTCATTTCCTCTACTTCTCTTGAGTCAATTCGTCATTTCATCAACTCCCCCTACTTCCCTTGACTCGCCGACACAACTTCCCCTCCATCGCACTTTTCCGAACCAAATTGGTGTATGCGCATTTGGATTAGCAGAGAGAGCAGAGAGGACAAATAACACTATGAGCCAACTTCTCACGACGCGGCAGGCGGAGGAGCTGTATGTGACCCGATCTGGTTTTTTCAGTGGTGCTCGCTGATGGCGTTTTGCGACAGACATAAAGGAATAATCGCCTACCTCACTTCTGTGAATTTACACCACAGCTCCGCCGCTTTACGAGAAGAACTAGGCGACTCGATCCGAGTTGACGAGACTACACTAAAGAAATATGAAGGACTCCTGGAGAAGAAATGGACGAGCGTAGTCCGGTTACAGAAAAAGGTGCGAAAACTGGGCACACCAACCAAATCTTCCTCTACTTAACCTGCCATTTTGGTACAGATTATGGACCTGGAGGCACGATGCGCTTCACTCCAGTCCGAGTTGGACACTGCAACCCCGACTTCTATGAACCGTAAAAACCAAGACCCAGTCACCTGGCTGCCTCGAGCACCAGCGCGTCATGACCTCGAATCACACCGCTCGCCAGTATCGTGTCTCGCTTTCCATCCAATATTCTCTTCATTGGCCTCCGGTTCAGATGACACCACAATCAAGATTTGGGACTGGGAGTTGGGCGAATTAGAACGCACAATCAAAGGACATACCAGGGCAGTGTTAGACGTTGACTATGGAGGACCGCGTGGAGGCACACTTCTTGCATCTTGCTCGTCAGATCTAACGATCAAATTGTGGGACCCGGCTGACGATTATAAGAACATCCGAACGCTACCG